AAGAGAAGGAGTATATTTCCTTTTTTGAGGTTCCTGAAGGTAAATTGGACAACTAGTCTCAATCTAATTTTTTTTTAAATTTTGTTTATAACAAGATAAAACAATGTAGGTTTTGAATTGATTTTTGTTGTTGTTATGAAACATATTTGGTCAAATTTTAGTTAATATGGATGAAATTTTCAGAGCATGTGATGTACTTAAAAATTTCAGGATGAGGCATAGATCCAGTTTTTAATCAGCAGTTTTTTTATCACAACCAGAATGTGATGCCATACTATCCTGTACAGGAATAGGATTCCTATGAAACCTGTAGAGGGATGTTCATTCATAAATAAACCCTGAAAAAGTACTTTTAGTGAAGAAAGCATAATGAATAAATTACAGGATGGAAAGGAGTCAGTTTCCTCTCTCTGAATCTGGGGTGGTGGGGTAGCCTAATGGTTAAAGCGTCTGCTCGTCACGCTGAAGTCCCGTGTTTGAGTCCCCAGATGGGTACAATGTGTGAGGCTAATTTCTGGTGTCGTACGCCATGATATTGCTGGAATATTGCTAAAAGCAGTGTAAAACCATACTCACTCACTCCTCCTCTCTGAATCAGGTCAGTTCAAGCTTTACATCCACAAGTGGAACCAGTTCGTTCACATTTCACAGGCTTTTGAAATTTCTTACCCTAGAACTTAAAATTTGATATTTTTGTTGGGAAATTATCAGGAGCATGCCTTGCATGAACTGCCGGTGTGATGAGATAAGATGCTGCGAAACCAACATCGGGAGGAGACATTAACTTCGGTGCTGGAGTCGGAGATAAGCAGTCAGAGCGTACATCGTCGTTGTGTCTGCTGTAGTTGCATCAGCAGACGTATAGAAAGCAATGGGTACCATCGTCAGACGTAAAGATATAGACAGCAATGGGTGGCATCAGCAGACATATAGATATAGACAGCAATGGGTGGCATCAGCAGACGTATAGATATAGACAGCAATGGGTGGCATCAGCAGACGTATAGATATAGACAGCAATGGGTGGCAATAGCAGACGTATAGATATAGACAGCAATGGGTGGCATCAGCAGACGTATAGATATAGACAGCAATGGGTGGCATCAGCAGACGTATAGATATAGACAGCAATGGGTGGCATCAGCAGACGTATAGATATAGACAGCAATGGGTGGCATCAGCAGACGTATAGATGTAGACAGCAACGGGAGGCATCATCAGACGTATAAATGTAGACAGCAACGGGAGGCATCATCATTAGACGTATAGATATAGACAGCAATGGATGGCATCAGCAGACAGCAATGGGTGGCATCAGCATTGTCATATTGATGACAATATCATGAACGGCCTCTGTTTTTCTTCCACAGCAAGCTGACAATCTGGATAAAACTGGAAATCTGTTCAAAGCAACCCACTCACTCACTCACTCACTCACTCACTATGTGCTTACATCATACATTGATGGCATTTCCTTGTGCATAGGGGCGGTGGGGTAGCCTAGTGGTTAAAGCGTTCGCTTGTCACCCCGAAGGCCAGGGTTCGATTCCCCACATGGGTACAATTTGTGAAGCCCATTTCTGGTGTCCCCCGCCGTGATATTGCTGGAATATTGCTAAAAACGGCGTAAAACCATACTCAGTAAGTCAGTCAGTCCTCGCGCATACGTAACACATGATTTAAGGCTACTTCTATATTCAGCCATGTTTCCTGTATCTTGAAGACGATAGGACTTACAACATGCTCTTTAAATACCATCATCTATTGGAGAATTCAAGGAAGGAATGTTATTATGATTTATTAGAGGTGCTAGGGTTTGTGTCATATTTTGAAATTTCATATGAAAAGTCATGCCGAGATTTCACATTTGAAGTTGAAGATCAATATGTGAAGTTGACAATCAATATGTCAGATACAAACGACAATCTGCATCCATTTCATTACCAGAAGAAATTCCTCATTACATGATGCGTTACGGTTTAGTTATGATAATATCTGGTTTGTGAGTTACAGGAACTGTAGCACTAGTGATTTAATGGCAATATGTAGCTTAATTTGATTGGTGACTATAGGAACAGCAACACCACAAATATTTCAGCAATGTGTAGCTCAGCTCAATCAGTGAGTATCGGAACAGCAAGACAACAAATATTTCAGCAATGTGTAGCTTAGTTTGATTGGTGACTATAGGAACAGCAAGACCACCAATATTTCAGCAATGTGTAGCTCAGCTCAATCAGTGAGTATTGGAACAGCAAGACAACAAATATTTCAGCAATGTGTAGCTTAGTTTGATTGGTGACTATAGGAACAGCAACACCACCAATATTTCAGCAATGTGTAGCTCAGCTCAATCAGTGAGTATCGGAACAGCAAGACAACAAATATTTCAGCAATGTGTAGCTCAGCTCAATAAGTGAGTATAGGAACAGCAAGACCACCAATATTTCAGCAATGTGTAGCTCAACTCGATCAGTGAGATATAGGAACAGCTTCAGAGAGTTTGGCATATAATAGTTATCGGTTGCACCATCTGATTAGAGTTTAGCATACAGCACTGATTAGAGTTTAGCATACAGCACTGATTAGAGTTTTGCATGCATACAGCACTGATTAGAGTTTTGCATACAGCACTGATTAGAGTTTAGCATACAGCACTGATTAGAGTTTTGCATACAGCACTGATTAGAGTTTTGCATACAGCACTGATTAGAGTTTAGCATACAGCACTGATTAGAGTTTAGCATACAGCACTGATTAGAGTTTAGCATACAGCACTGATTAGAGTTTAGTATACAGTACTGATTAAAGTTTAGCATACAGTACTGTTTAGAGTTTAGCATACAGTACTGATTAGAGTTTAGCATACAGTACTGATTAGAGTTTTGCATACAGTACTGATTAGAGTTTAGCATACAGTACTGTTTAGAGTTTAGCATACAGTACTGATTAGAGTTTTGCATACAGTACTGATTAGAGTTTAGTATACAGTACTGATTAGAGTTTTGCATACAGTACTGTTTAGAGTTTAGCATACAGTACTGATTAGAGTTTTGCATACAGTACTGATGAGAGTTTTGCATAAAGTAACAATTGGTGGTACTATCTGATTGGTGAGTTTTGCACATAGTGACAGAAGCAGTATGTCTACTAACAGTGGCACCGTCCAATCACTGAGTCTTGTATAGTGTGTCCTTTTTTAGGATTGTAATGTAAGGGAGACAACTTTTGGTGATGTAGCTATTCTTTTTATTTATATTTTCAAGTCCAGAAATAATTTTTCGCATCTCTAGCTCCCCTGAAAAATGTCAGATAAAATACATGAGACTTATACATGAGGCATGGAAACTTATGACATACAACCCACATGCATGATAACAGTTTAAACTGGCGTCAAAAGAAATGTTCAGGATTCCGATAAAAGAGCCTCAGTTGCCCTGGAGATTGTGTAACGGGGGATAGAGATTGAACTGATCAAGATTACAAAAAACGAGTGCAGCAGATATGGATTTTTTTCTGATTGTAGGTGATTTTACACCATAATAAATATGAATTATGTATTTTCATGACGAACATGACTGATGACGGGTTTGTTTGTTTCTGGAATGCTGTCTGTGCCAAAGATTACCCAGACCACCAGACCATACTTGGCCCTTACCATCATTTCCAGTAGCTTTTTGTGTTGTTATATGAACTATCATGTCAGCTGAGGTTGCTTGGCTGATCTGAATGTAACTAGGCTTTTTAACACGTCTGGAGTACCACAGAGGGAATGAGGCTTCGTGAAAACGTCAGATAGCGGTGTCGATAGATCGTCAGACGACAAGACATCAATAACTGGAACAGGAGACAAAGGACATGTCTGGAGAGTGAAGATTCCTTAAAATATGTTGAAGTGCCTAATATGTTTATCTTACATGCCCTTCTATGCATCTGGGTTTACTTTCATCTGATGGTATTTCCCTGTTCTGGTGTATCCACATACTGACCAGTAACTATAGCATTTACTGCCAGATGCACAATTTGTTCGTTCCTCATTCTGGTAGAAATATGATCTTCCTTGTGAGTATTATCGGATGCCCTATGCTAGCATCAGCCCATTAGTTCCTAGCCCAAGACTATGCCCTATATATGCCCGAGACTATGTCAGAGTGCGAACCCTAATCCATGTTCCATGCTCTAGAGTAGTCCAGGTAGACCAGTCCTAGACTGTGTTCCAGGTTACGCTGCAATCCTTAGACCAGTCATAGACTAAGCCCTTGTCAAAGTTTCATGCCTTAGACTATCCCAAGACAAAGTCCCATTGCAAGCCCTAATCTACCTTGCATGCCTAGCCTATGTTCCAAGCCTTAGATAAGTACAAAACTAAGCCCCTGTCAAAGATTCCTACCTAGCTGAAGTTCGATGCCCTTTGTCTTTGACTTAGCCAGGGCGATGGGGTAGCCATGTGGTTAATATGTTGGCTCGTCACGACAAAGACCGAGGTTCAATTCCCCACATGGATACAATGTGCGAAGCCCATTTCTGGTGCCCCAGATATGATATTGCTGGAATAGTGTTAAAAGCGGCGTTAAACTAAACTCACTCACTCATTCTGACTTAGGCCTTGTCAAAAATTTATGCTTCGATAAAGTTCAGTGCCCTAGACCAGTCTTTGACTGGGCCCTTGTCAAAGATTCATGCCTAGCTCTAGCCTTGTCAAAGATTCATGCCTAGCTCTAGCCTTGTCAAAGATTCATGCCTAGCTCTAGCCTTGTCAAAGATTCATGCCTAGCTCTAGCCTTGTCAAAGATTCATGCCTAGCTCTAGCCTTGTCAAAGATTCATGCCTAGACTAGCCATATACTAAGCCCTGGTCCAAGTTCCCTCATTTGATCCTGAGAAACTAAGCACTGAACACTCAATTAAGAAGCAACTCCTCTTCAGGGCCAAGAGAACTTAGCTTCCTTCGCTAAGTTAGTGACATATACGTAATTCTCTTGTCCTCATTGTCCACCGCAGATCTCCGCACTATGCCTGTCCAGAGGTTATACGGGTAAGAGGTTGTCATGGACAACGCATGGTTGACAGTTGTCATGGCAACGCATGGTTGATATTGTACTTTTCATGTTCAGTTTTGTTCACAATTTATTTCATTACAGCACAATTTTACTACTTTGTGTGTGGTCACTCAATGCATGACACAAAAATGTAAGAAACTTGCATCAAGATCAAGGACATGAACATAGATGTAGGTTACATATACACTTAACACTTCTAAATTGAGTCTAAAACGGACTGAGCTTCATTGGCTCTTTCTGAGGTAGTTATAATTTGAAACCTCTGATTGACCAATCCAAATCAGGTACATATGTGATTTATTCATATGTAACATACAGGCTGCTCTATGGATGACAACTTCTTGTTTATTGCATACAGCGACGTTTCAAAGTAGGTTCTTACACCGTTTATCACACCGTTATCAAGCTAAGCGTTTGATTTCACTTTAAGATTGATAACGTTGTAAGAATCTACATCGAAATGTCGCTCAATGCAATAAACAAGAATTTATCATCCATAAAGTTGTATGTTTCATTTTTGACTTGCCAACTTCTAGAATGCTTATCAAAGAATTTATATAATTCATATGTATTTATGTTATGTGGAAGAAATAATTTAAATTGTTATTCAAGGCTTCATCTAAGTTAAATGCTTTTACTGTTAATTCAATTTGCAAAGGGATTTTTGTATATGATACAGGGTTCGAAATACCCCATATATTAGTGTGCCATGGCACGGAAAATACAGAAATGGCACGGCTAAAAAATGTTCTCAGTGCCCTTTTGACACGCCTAAGTTTTTAAGAGACATAACTCACATTTAGTCATTTAATCCCCAAAACAATTTTTTTTTTCCAAATTGAATAATACCATACATATCTGAATGCTCCCCATTTCTTTATTTAACAATAAATTTCAAATGATCATCATTGTCATTTATTCTAAAAACTTGTGGGCATACTCGCCTTCTGAAAGGCCCACCTAAAATATTTGTCTGGTGCCTTAAGGCACATTTAGAAAAAAAAGTATTTCTATCCCTGTGATATATCGCTGAAGTTGTTTGTTTAGCTATGTGAGGAGGTAGTTTTTGTTGTTGCATGAACTGCACTTCGTGTTTATTTAGTGCAGTAATTTCCATGTTTTGTTTGTTTAAGTGACTGTTGTTTGTTTAAATAGTTGGCATTTTATCTGATTTTGATTTCAACTGTCTAAACACAGCTTTGGATCATTTTTTCTGAATTTGAAGATTTGTTTGATTTCATCAGATTTAATTTCAAGTGTGTCAAGTTTTGGTTGGTTTTGTGCACGATGTTTTTGGCATGTTTCAGTACAAGTACTTACTCTGGCAAATAAGAGGGAAACATCACATTTAATTGTTAATTTGGGGGATTGGCGTGATAGAGGGTATAAAACTATTATTTTGTTATGAGCTAGTGAGACAGAAATGAAAAGGTTGTTAGTGACTTTGAAAATAAGGAATTGGTCCAATCCGTCCAAATCGTTATAAGAGCTCTTTTAGTGAGTATTGTTTCATGTAGGTATTAAATTGCTGAATTTATGCAAAGTAAAGAAAGAATCTTTTTTTAAATGTTACTTTTTCTGGGCATCTAACATAGATTGTAAGCATCCAGGATGAAGATTCTTATATTGTTGTATTAGTATCTTATTGATATGTCATGATCGATTCATCTATAAACTTTATGTTTTTCAGGGAGAAAAATATGATGGTAGGAAAGCAGACGTGTGGAGCTGTGGAGTGATATTATATGCTCTACTAGTGGTGAGGATAACAGTATGAAGTATGATATTCTTAGCTAGTTGTGAAGATAGTAGTATGATACTCTGTATTTTCTTGTGGTGAGGGTAATAGCATAATGTCTAATGTCTTAAGCTATTTGTTACGATAACAGTTTGATATATTGTATGTAAGACTAGGAAATACCCAGTTAGTCTTGACTGTAGTAAACTGTAGGAGAGTATAGTGTAACTTTGAAGCCAATGGGCTTTTTTTTCTTCAATTTTTGCAGGCGTACATCTTTGCGATGAAAGACATTACGTTTCACTCTTGTGTTTATCTTCAACAAATTGGAGTGTGAATGAACAATCATGTTTAATGTTTCACATTATTTGAAATTCTGAAAATGTGTCTTGCAGGGACAATATTTTTCTGAGGATTTTTGGGAAAGGTCAACCTTTTTTCCATCTGTGTTGCTCAGTTGTCAAGTTATTCATTTTTCATTTTCAGGGTGCTCTGCCATTCGATGATGACAACCTACGACAATTATTAGAAAAAGTAAAAAAAGGCGTGTTTCACATTCCACACTTTGTACCTCCTGATTGTCAAAACCTGCTGCGAGGCATGATAGAGGTCGACCCCGAGAAACGCTTACATGTATGTGTACTCTATCATTTAATCAAACATTTGTGTCTACAAACAGTAATCTACGATGCCACAATTTGCTCTGCAGAGTTGCATCCCTTAGTCATGCCGAAACTGTTGATTGTGGGTTCGAATCCAAAATTTGTGTGATAATATTTCTAGATTTGTTAGCACCATGTGTGATAAGCATCTAATTTGAACATAACTTTCAGTCTTCTTAACCATTAAGTTTACATGCACTAATGTCACTGAAATACTCACTCATTCATGCATTCAAACTATTGATAGTAATGATTACACATTGCCATTTAGAAAGTGGTCTCATGTAACACATGTTATATTTGGGATTTCACTTTCTCAGTAAAGTACAGATTCTAGTACTTTTGGGGTTGAGTACCATCCAAGATTTGAACTCACACTCTTAGAGTCTGGCACCAAATCACCAGCACACAAAGTCAGCCATCTAACCCACTGAGCCACCTCAAGAGAAAGTCATACTCTGTAGTCATTGACACATGTTGCTATGTTTGCTTTGAAAAAATACTCTGGAGAGATTCTCTTGTTCTGTAAGATGTAGCAAAATGCTCAAAAAGCTGCTTTGGAATGTCTTGATGATGATGATGATGATGTCTTGGTGATGATGATGATGATGATGTTTGTTCGCAGCTTGAAGATGTCATGCGACACCCGTGGGCAATAGCGTAAGTATGTCACAGGACTTCACTCCATTAGAAACTTCCCATGAAGATCGGGATTAGAATTGGTCTTCAGCAACCCATTCTTGTTGTAAGAGGCGACTAACCCGTTCGGGTAGTCAGACTCGCTGACTTGGTTAACGTGTGTTATCGTATCCCAATTGCATAGATGGATGCTCATGCTGTTGATCACTGGATGTTCAGGTTTAAACTCAGTTATTTAGAGAATGATGCCATATATCTGGAATATTTCTGAGTGCCATGTTAAACAAGAAACAAACCAACCATCAGAAACTACATCATAATGTTCCCTCAGATTCTATTCCCAGAAGACCGCCTCCGTGGTGTAGTGGTTAGAGCGTCCGCCCGCGGAGAGCGGAAGGTTGCGGGTTCGATCCCCGACCGCGTCATACCAAAAGACGTTAAAATATGGTACTTGTTGGTCCCTGCCTGGCGCTCGGCATTAATGGGTACAACAAGGACTGGTCGGCTCGGAGTCAGTATAATGTGTCTGAGTTGGGTATTCATGCTTCACTGCGGCATGGTATCTCAGTAGGCTAGCACTATAAAACCTTCTTAGTCTGGGCTAGTACAAGCAGCCGCACATACACATACACACGCATGCACGTCGTCATATGAGCGAAATATTCTCAAGCACGACATAAAACCCAATTTCACCTCACCTCATCTATTCCCAGAAAAAAACCTTGTGTTGATTGTTTGGGGCAAATAATAAGGATGAGTTGTGACCGGCTGTGATCATCTTCACATGCCCAGTCACCTTGTTATGGTTCATACTATCAACCACTGGTTTGCCCAGATTTAAACATGGCTGTGATATAGCTGGAATATTGCTCAACTAATTGTGCAAGAGAAATGTTTGTGTTGGCAAATTTGGGCAAAATTAATTTGTTTTGCATCAAAACTGGGATATTGTTTTTAAACATGGCTATGATACAGCTGGAATGTGGCTGACTGGCATGCAACAACATTCACTCAACTAATTGTGCAAGAAGAATGTTTGCAAATTTGGGCAAAGTTAATTTGTTATGCATGAAAGCCAGGATATTAATTTGTATTTTTGTACTTGAGGCTCCAGATTTCTATCATACTTTGATCTTCTGATTAATGGCATATTTATGACACGGTTTATTCCAGTTGATGGCATATTTTGCTGACAATATTCCTTTGGCTCAAAAAAGCATTAATGAATTCCTTTGCAGCGGCGCTTGAATCTGGGATCAATATTTTGCATCAACAGCAATACATATGGGCCACAGTTGCCATAGTCAAAGTAGAAGTGTTTCGTTTATTTCTTACATGTTTTGACATGAGACTATTTGAAAAAGTTATAGTTTTGAATGGAGAAATATATTTGAACAACGAAATTTAAGTTTGTGCTTGGATTCCAATCAATTCTCATTTGGGTCTGACTGTAAAATTTTAAATCATCACTTGGAGATAGATTTAAATCAAGTCTCAAGAAAAATAAAATCAATGTTGATGGCTCCGAGAAATTAGCAATGCTTCCAGCTAGTTTGACTTATTTAGAAATTAATCGAAACTTGATGTTAACTTGACACATGTTCATGTTAAGCAGTGTTTAAAACTCCAAAAATTCCAAGCCAAACAGCCGGACTGGTAACTTTAAAAAATTACCAGTCCGGATACAAACTTGCCGGCCCGGTTTTCAACAATAAACGGAAATTGGTTATTGTAACTTGAACTGTCCAATCATAAGTAGTTTAACATAATTATCATAATACCCTAAACACCTCAAACTGACGACAAGAGAACCTGTCTGATGTTATGAAATATTTACTGTTAGGGGTAATAATATCTACCAGACCACCGGACAGGCCACTTTTGAAATTTGACTGTCTGAGATGAAAATAAACCGTTCCGGATGGTCAGGCAGGCGGGAATTTTAAACGCTGTGTTAAGGGGAAAAACTGAACACATTCTTAGTGTAAGGATTAATTAGGCAGTTTTAGGAATGACTTAACCATGTTTTGGAGCAGTATTTTGACACATATTCTTGTTTAGGGAATAACTTGACATATGATCATGTTTTAAGAGATTATGTTATTGTTTTAGGAATTAACTTGACATATTTTCTTTATTTAGGAGAATGATCTGATGATGTTATAGGACAATTATTTGACAAATATTCTTGTTTTAAAGACAACTTGATACATGTTCTTGTTTAGAGGAATAACTCATGTGTACATGTTTTAGGGGAATAGTTTCACATATGTCCTTGTTTAAAGTTAATAACTTGATAATGTTCTTATTTTAAAAACTATAACTTCACACGTAATCATGTTTTAGGGGAATAACTTGAAATATATTCTTGTTATTGAGGAACAACTTGTCATATGGTCTCTTGGGGCGGAGTAATTTGACACATGTTCCTATTTGAGAAGAATGACATGACACCCTTTTTTGTCCTCTTTGAAGAATAACACGTCACATGTTCTTCTTTATGGGGGAATAACCTGACACATGTTCTTGTTTTAGCGGAACAAAACAAGAAGTCGAGGTAGAATTACCCATGACTCAAGTAGTTCAGGTATTTTCCACCAGAGGGAGCAGTGCTCTTCCTGTCTGTGTGTCCTAGCAGCTGTGGGTGTTATGGGTAGATGTCACAATTGTTCACGTTGGTACCGTCAGTCCTTGTAGCAGTGCAAATTGGAGATTCTTTTTGTTAAAAATCTTAGCTTATATTGCCTGTGGGGTGAGCAGAGTAAGTTGCATGCTATGCGCGAAAAGATTTAATCATAAATTTTTAAAATAAAATACTTACATTGGTAAAATTTTCTTAAAGACTTTTCAAAATTTACCTCAGTACTTCCACATTTTGAATGCTTTGATACCAAATTAATAGGATTTTAGTTCTTTTAAGTCATTACAGAGAATTTGAAAAAAGAAACCTTTTTTAATTTGGAACTTTGATATGACACATCGTGGATGCCCATGAAGGAATAGCCAATAGAATGTTTTAAAGTAGGGGTATTTTAGTTTGTTTGTATCCAGGCTTCAGAGAGGACAGATTGCTAGGAGATGGTAGGCTGTATATTTGCACAGTTACATGGCGTGTGGTCTCGCTGCTGGGGATGGACCCGATGGTGTTGTATTATCCAGTGGTGGTTGTACTTTGGTTGTATGTCTCATGTTGTACTTTGTTTCCTTTTTCTAGGGAGACATTGGGGCATATAGAGTTAGAATTACCTGTCACACAAGTAGTCCAGGTGATGCGACGACTCGTACTTCACACTGCCTCTGTCTGCATGTCTTGCCATCTGTATCATCTGCATGTCTGTCTGTCTGTCTGCATGTGTGTCTGTCTGTCTGTCTGCATGTCTCGCCATCTTGTATCATCTGCATGTCTGTCCGTCTGTCTGTTCATCTCTCTGTGTGTCTGTCCGTCTGCTTGTCCTGACCCAGACGTCCTTGACTCTCTACAGTAGCATCAATATCGAGACAAGTTTTGGCATTACCAAACTTGCATTTGCAGGAAGCTGTAATATCCTTGACTCACCTGGCCTCAATAACCATGCAAGCTTTTACGTTTTCGACTTCTCCCAAATGGCTTGAAGATTTAGCCGAATGTTTTGTTGATGTGACATCCTGTGTGATTTTAAGTCCTCATACAAAACATTTTAAAGTCGGCAGTAATTGTGTTTGTTCAAACGCCACAATTTCAACTTTTTGTTGTAGCAAATATTATGAATATAAACAGTAAAAGGAGCAGGTTCATATTTGATTTTTACCAAATGATAGTTTTTTGTCCTCAAGAGACTGATTTCTAAGTTAAGCATAATGATACAGGAAATTGATGACTTGAACACATTCCTCGGCAACAATTCAGATCTGAACTGTCTCAAGACAGTCAGTTTGTGATGCAAGGTGGTAGGATAGCGCTGTGAAGGAGAGTCTTGGATATCTGCCAGATGACACGTTCACCCTTCTGTCCACGCTTATACCCACCCAGAATAATGATGATGGCACTCGTAAAGTGCATCTTCCACTTATTCGTTAATGCATCGATGCTGCACTAACGATCAATGCATGGCACTCCTACTTGGTATCGTGTTATGTTAGGTATTGATTTTCAAAAAATAATATTTCAAGTTGTATTGTAGTGTTACATTACTTATGAAAAAATGTATTTAATCTCATTGAATGAGATTTTAAAATGACCTAGTACAGTGAAAACCTCTTTATTCTTCTAAACCAGCCACATTTAACATTACGCTTTGTATCGTAACTCAAGCCCATATGTATCGATATGTAAGGCAGAAGTTGAACCTAATGTAAATGTATTGTAATTCTTAATATGTATTAGGGCGGTGGGGTAGCCTAGTGGTTAAAGCGTTCGCCTATCACACCAACGATTAGGGTTCGATTCCCCACATGGGTACAATGTATGAAGCCAGTTTCTGGTGTCCCTCGCCGTCATATTGCTAGAATATTGCTAAAAGTGGCGTAAAAGTAAACTCACTCACACATAATATGTATCGATATGTATCACAGATGTACCATGACACCTCGATATGTATCCTGTACTATCCACGCACAACATAGATGTATCGCAACACCTAGTTTGTATCGATGTGGGCTATCATGGCTACTCCAACATGAAAGACATGTCAAACATGAGTGTGTGTGAGGAAGAAACACTAAATTATGAAGGATATCAAATTACGTTTGATGTTTGACTCCTGTTCCCAGTCCACTCAGACATACTCTGTAGATCCTCCTGATGGGAGCTGCATGTTGCTCTAGGTTCCCCACACCCCACTCAGTCACCTGTATCCAGCCCTCCCTGTACCAGGTGTTGTCCTGTAATCTGTTGGAATGGCAACTCTCTAACCCTGCCATCACTCTCTCTATTCTAGAACTGAAACAATTATCATGATAATATGCTTCTCGGGTGTAATATATTTATTTTGTTTATGGAGTTTTCTACCCAAAACTTTAATCAATTATCATTTTCTATTATCCATTGAGATTAAAAAAAATTTGTTGATATCTTAAAAGAATTTATTGTCAACTGAAATTATTATAATGTAAAAATGAGAAATATATGATTTTCCAAATACCAAGTGAAAAGACTTACTTCCCCTTTCTTGTTGACCTTTTTTTAATTTTCGATCTTTACTGAAATTGATGAACAGATTTGTGGGGAAGACAATCCATTACAGTATTTTGAAATTAGGGTGGGCCCATCCATAAACCAAGTATATATATTAATAAATGCGAAGGTTTCATAGATACATGTGTGATACACTCAGCTTATAAGGTCGCCATGACCTTGTTTGACTTGAATGGCTACTGGCATGTTTGGCGAATGAATTAAATCCTGTCAGCAAAAACACTATTCATCATGGCCGACACTTGCATCATGGCCGACACCACGGACACCTCTTCTTGCATGCAGTGTACTTGCATGTGTGTGTCATGTCGATTTCAGGATTGATTGACACATGTGATGTTGATGATCACTCATGTCACAATCACTGTCACTTCCTGTTGGAAGAGGTGCATGGATGGCCGAAATGTCGAAACATCCACAATCCGATCTGGAGTTGCAGCAATCCACATTCTCTCATCCTGGTGGAAGAGAGCCAAATGGTTTACTGTTCGTGGTGTAATGATACAGTATAGTATTGTATTGCGATATGATGCACATGATACAATGGATCACTTTCCAACTCCTGTATCGCGATACATACAATGCATTACACGTTATTAGCCTGTGAAGACCATGGTCTACAAGGGTGCACATTTTAGCTGGGCAGGCCTTCTTTCTTTTTCTCGCCCACGTGGTTGACTGACCCAGACTCAATTATTTACAGGCTTGACACTGGAATGTCATCGTCTTGATTATTTATTGGCCTATCCCAATTGCATAGATTGATGCTCATACTGTTGATCACTGGATTGTCTGACCCAGACTCAATTATTTACAGATCGGCGCCATGTAGCTGGAATATTGCTGAGTGTGTCGTTTAACAACAAGCAAAACATAAATCACTGGAATGTCTGGTCCAGTCTTGATTATTTATTGGCCTATAATGTCAGATAGTTGGAATATTCCTGTGAGGTGTTAACCAACAAACCAAAACGTGCTCAAAACTCCAAAATGGTTTTGTTTTTATGTTTTCACGACCAGTCATCTATTGTTAGTTTTCATGACCTAGATGAGTGACATGAGATTCAACAGAGAACTCTTCTGTGTTTCAGACCTCTGTTATCCCCACAGTGGAAGATCTTGACCCCGATGTGCTTTCAACAATGAACTCTCTACAGTGTTTTAAAGATAAAGACAAACTTGTAGAAGAACTCATGAGTATAAAGTAAGTGCTGGTGCCATATATTGTTTATATTCACATCCGTTTTCAGTGTATGTTAAATCGTACATGATTTTGTGGATGACTTTGTATCCTAGCCCTGGTCGTATACAAATTTGACTGACAAAGTTAGTAATCAGCCAAATAGTTTTAGATATCTTTAAATGTGTTCAGGTTCCAAGAATTTCTGGGAGTTGCAGACCCTGAGATACATTTGGCACAGTTGTCTAGGGTGCCACAATTCCATGTGAAGAGTTGCCTCCCTTAGGCATACAAGAAACCTGTGATCATGTGTTTGAATCCCAGATTTCTGGGAGTTGCAGACCCTGAGATACCTGTGGCACAGTTGCCCAGGGTGCCATAATTCCATGTGAAGAGTTACGTCCCTTAGACATGCAAGAAATGTGTGATCATGTGTTTGAATCCCAGATTTCTGGGAGTTGCAGACCCTGAGATACATTTTGGCACAGTTGCCCAGGGTGCCACAATTTCAGGTGAAGAGTTACGTCCCTTAGGCATGCAAGAAATGTGTGATCATGTGTTTGAATCCCAGCTTTGCCTGGGTTATGTTTATAGGTTTGTCAGCACCGTGTCAATAGCAAAGATGTAAATGTGTATACCTGTATGACTTTCCTCTGACATCAAGCTGTCTCATTGATAAAACTGAAATACCTTCCAGAAGGAATGATATTCCTCGTGACTGTTTCAGACATAACACGGAGAAGGTGGTATATTTCTTGCTGCTGGACCGAAAACTCAGGAATCCTAGTGTAGAAGACGATGTGGAGATTAGAAGTAGGTCTGAATCAGGTGAGTCTCAATGGACACTTGTGCAGGTCTGCATAGTAGACCTTGGTTGGTGTTCGGCAGTCATCAGGTTAATATGAAGTGTAAAGACCCAGGTTCGATTCCCCACATTTGCACAATGTGTGAAGCCCATTCTGGTGTCCCCTGCCATGATATTGCTAGAATGTTGCTAAAAGCGGTGTAAAACTTGACTCACTCACTCACTCACTTAAGGAGACAGGGGTAGTCAGATCTCTGATATGCAGTACACATGGTTCACCATGTCACTGATCTACGAGCAGTCGGGTAGCCAGGTCTTTCATCTACAGTAGACAGGGGTAGTCAGATCTCTGATATGCAGTACACATGGTTCACCATGTCACTGATCTACGAAAGCAGTCGGGTAGCCAGGTCTTTCATCTACAGTAGACAGGGGTAGTCAGATCTCTGATATGCAGTACACATGGTTCACCATGTCACTGATCTACGAGCAGTCGGGTAGCCAGGTCTTTCATCTACAGTAGACAGGGGTAGTCAGATCTCTGATATGCAGTACACATAGTTCACCATGTCACTGATCTACGAGCAGTCGGGTAGCCAGGTCTTTCATCTACAGTAGACAGGGGTAGTCAGATCTCTGATATGCAGTACACATGGTTCACCATGTCACTGATCTACGAAAGCAGTCGGGTAGCCAGGTCTTTCATCTACAGTAGACAGGGGTAGTCAGATCTCTGATATGCAGTACACATGGTTCACCATGTCACTGATCTACGAGCAGCAGTCGGGTAGCCAGGTCTTTCATCTACAGTAGACAGGGGTAGTCAGATCTCTGATATGCAGTACACATGGTTCACCATGTCACTGATCTACGAGCAGTCGGGTAGCCAGGTCTTTCATCTACAGTAGACAGGGGTAGTCAGATCTCTGATATGCAGTACACATGGTTCACCATGTCACTGATCTACGAGCAGTCGGGTAGCCAGGTCTTTTTCATCTACAGTAGACAGGGGTAGTCAGATCTCTGATATGCAGTACACATGGTTCACCATGTCACTGATCTATGAGCAGTCGGGTAGCCAGGTCTTTCATCTACAGTAGACAGGGGTAGTCAGATCTCTGATATGCAGTACACATGGTTCACCATGTCACTGATCTACGAGCAGTCGGGTAGCCAGGTCTTTCATCTACAGTAGACAGGGGTAGTCAGATCTCTGATATGCAGTACACATGGTTCACCATGTCACTGATCTACGAGCAGTCGGGTAGCCAGGTCTTTCATCTACAGTAGACAGGAGGTCTTTCATCTACAGTAGACAGGAGTTGCCAGATCTCTGGTCTGCAGTAGACAAGATTAACCATGTCACTGATCTGCTCTAGACAGCGATGGCCAGATCTCTTATATGCATTAGACACTTTCACAAACCTGTAGTAGTAATCTGTCACTGACAATGGTCAGAGGGGTTTGAACAATTCTTGTTCTACATTTCAGCCGATCCCCCCAGGAAACGAGTGGATGCGGTCCAATTTAACGGACAAGCCAGGTACGATGTTGCAATTAGTTTCCTGTTCTTTAACATTATTGCTGTTTGAGACTAACAACTAACTTTGTACCTAGCATATTTAGAAATCCTTGTGAATAAGACCACCTTTACCTGATCAGACTCAACCCAAAGCAACTTCTTCTATGGGTATGTTTTGAATCGTATGTGAGCTGGTTTTATGTCAAACGTGGAATTGTGTATCATAAATCTTTTCTTGTGTTTATCTTCGTTGACATATTACACAAACATTCATTCAGAAATTTGGATATTATAGCCATATGTCACTATTTATATGTAATTGTTTTAAATTCCACATTTGACATAGTTAATCATTTATGTTTAGAGTTTTTTTTCAAGGAAATATACATACTGATAGACTTACTGACACTCTATTAAAGTTTAAAGTTGAAAATAGCTCTTTGAGTGGATTGGAAAATGAGTAAAATGATAATATCCCAATTTTAGTTTCTGAAATGGGAATGATAGTGATCGATAGAAATGTTGAGAAGAAATTCTGAAATTATTCTGATACTCACTTACCTCCGGTACCTTCAATATACTTTGTTTTATCTAAAGAAAAGTTTGAAATGCTATTTCTGATTGAAAAAACAAACCTCCAGTACATATATGGGATAATCATGTAGCAAGCCTAGATATAGGGAATTCATGATCAAAGTATTTATTCAGTGGAAATAAATATTTGAATGTGGAGGTGAGTGATTACTGAAGAAATTGCTTCTTTAAATATTTTATGATGTGCGATGTAATTGATACAACCCATCATTGGCATATGTGACATTCAGAAAAACTGGTTGTAAACATATTGACATGGTCATGACAGTTATGCTATCTTAGAGCTGGAACTGTGAGAAGTCAATGGCTGGTCACTTGAAAGCCATTTGCACTAAATCCACTCAAAGAGCTGTTTTGAAATGAAATTGTTTTTTCTTGTACTGACACTTGTATTGACACTTGTACTGACACTTGTATTGGACCCTGCCAGACTTTCACTGGGCAATATAAGTGAAGGGTCCCCCGTAGCTTCCAGGAGAGCCCTCGCTGTGCAGCAAGTGTGAGTAACCAAGGGAGACAACTCTGATTACATTTGTTTACTGTCCCTTGGTTCATTATTATTTTGTCAGTGTTGTTTACATGTGGTGTTCCCGAAGCGATGTAACTGGCAGCCAGTCTTATAGAGCAAACAGAAGACACATGTGCGGGTTATGGGAATAATATGTAATATGCGTGATATTCTAGACTTCGTAAGACACATGAAGAATTGATCTTCAGTAACCCATGCTTGTCTTAAGAGGGGACTAACGGGATCGGGTGGTCAGGCTCGCTGACTGGGTTGATACATGTCATCGTATCCCAATTGTGTATGATGATTGTCTGGTCCAGACTTGACTGTTTACAGACCACCATCATATTGCTAGAATATTGCTGAGTGTTGAACAACAAACAAGCCAGTAAACTAGACTTACTGAAAAACTTTGTATAACAGCTGTAACTGGGGAGGTATCGTGAGGGATCAGCTAAGATCATTGTTCATTTCTAAACAGCTGGCATGTGTTCACAGAATCAACCACTGGTTTATGTTTTATCAACAACCATTATGAATATTCAAATTATGGATGTGTTATTTAAGAAAAATTATTACGTATTTGAGGCCTAGAAATGGTTTGTTTGGTACCTGCTAGATGAAAGTGGGTGGGAACAGATTGCAGGCATGTTTCAATTAATGTTGAAAAGATTGGAGTCGTACTGACTTCCAGATTATATGATGCCGGGATCGCCAGTAGCACCCAGTCTCAGATGCATGTAGAGTGAGTGAGTGAGTGAGTTTATTTTTACGCTGCACTCAGCAATATTCCAGCTATATGGCAGCGGTCTGTAAATAATCGAGTCTGGACCAGACAATCCAGTGATCAACAACATGAGCATCGATCTGCGCAATTGGGAACCGATGACATGTGTCAACCAAGTCAGCGAGCCTGACCACCCGATCCCGTTGGTCACCTTTTACGACAAGCATAGTCGCCGTTTATGACAAGAATGGGTTGCTGAAGACCTATTCCACCCCCGGATCTTCACGGGTCAGATGCATGTAGAGATGTTGTACGTGGATGTGTTCAGTTTATGCTTTAGGTCTATTTCAGCTGCCTATCACAATCTGGATATTTGTGTCACTGCGGTCTACTTTCATGAAATGTTATTAGATTTTCATCCCCCAAATTAAATGTGAAATAAGAGACATTTCATTATGTGGCTAAGTATTCATGTCGAAAAAAAAAAAATGTTCAGGACCTCTATGGACTTTTGACTTGACACTAAGATATATTAGCAACTGATATTTGATACCCTGTATCTGGTGTATCAAATCAAGTAAATTAAGAGTTAACAGTTAAAGTAAGTTTCTTCTGCAGCTGCAGATACTTGGAAAGATCTTGATGTTATCTGGTGGGTGGGGGATGGAAATCTGATCATTATTGCCCTCACTGCTCAATTTATTGACTTCTTGTGCTATGTTAATTTCATTCAGTCAGTTGTGTCTTTGTTTGCTGAATGTTTCACAGGTGGTGATATTATTTCAATTATCGTGATTTATTATTTTCTTTTGTGATATTATGTCTTGTTGTCAACATTAACGAAGGGACTGACCATTTCATATTTGGGGGGCGGTGGGGTAGCCTAGTGGTTAAGACGTACACTTGTCATGCTGAAAACCGGGTTTGATTCTCCACATGGGTACAATGTGTGAAGCCCATTTCTGGTGTCCCCCGCTGTGATGTTGCTGGAATATTGCTAAGATCGGAGTAAAACTAAACACACTCATATTCAGGGAGATACCTGAGATTTGATTTGATTCCTCGTCCTCTCACCTCATGTTTGAAAACTTGTATTATCTACAAATACTATAATACTTCACACTGTTGAAAGCGCAAGAAATCAAAACATGCGATCTCTACCCCCTATCCCCCCCCACACACACCCCACAGGAATATGAGATGGTCGATTCATGAATATTGGATACAAATATATTTTTTCTTCTCTGATTGTAGAATTACAATACTGAACTAACTTTATAAATAGCAACTGCTTTTGTTTTGTGAGTGCGACATTTTGGTACAGATTCTTGTACCGTTGTCAAGGTGAAATGTGAATATCTGTATCAAAACATTGCACTTGCGAAATAAAAAAAGTTTTATCCATAAAGTTTGTTCAAACATGTTTTTGCATAAAAATTAACAAAAAATGGAATTAATTATTTTTGATGTAAACAACCACAGCTGTAAGAAAACTAACCATCCACCTATTGTTATACTGCTCATTTTTTCTTATCCTGACTCGCGATCTTTTGCTTATCTCCCTTTCGCTTGGGCGAAAAGGGAGAGAGTGACAAGTAAGGCTGGTCACATGACTGTTTACGCGGGAAAAGGGAGGTAACTCGTGGGTGAGTGTATCTTTACGTCCGCTTCGGGAACTTCAAGGGATTCAAGTGTTCCACTACCATTCGCAAGGGAAAGGGAGATAAGCAAAAGATCATGAGTGAGGATAAGTATAAAAATATCAATTTTACTTTAAAAATTACATTTTTCTCTATTAAATGTGTTAGTGAACAGTTCTTAGAAGTAGTATCTCACTTAATTCTTTAACATGTTGTTTGAAGGTATTGCATTATCAGAATAGCTGATCAAAACATCTTTGACTTTCCGGTGTGTTATTAATCCATACTAACTGATAAATACGCTGGTCTCATTTGCCACCACAGCTTTGTATGGAAGTGATGCATCATTTCTCGTCTCACGAACTCAAAATCTGCCTCGAAGTGGCATGATAATGTAATAATAATCTCGAATATTAGAGTGCCAAATCCATCTATTAGTACACTCAAATAACTTTATTACATCGATCAATCTATCAGTGTTCTCTCAAGTTTCATTCTCAACTCCCTGGGGAGTACACAACCTGATCTATTTTCATATGGTTCGAAACAGTATGGTGGCAATTGGTTCCAGGGTTTTTATCATAATGCATGGAGATATATAAACCCTGGATAGTTGAAGATGGACACCTGTGGCACAGTGTGTCTATGGTATCATTTGTTTCAGAAGAAAGGCAAACCTGAGTGGTAGTCCTAACAACTCTCCACTTTCCAGCCCAAAGCTCCCCCCACCGAGGAACCACGCCAACCCACAGCCCTTCGGCGACACCCCCCAGCTCCCCAGGTATCCAGACCACCCCCTGGAAATCAAGGTTACATACGATAAAGAACAGCTTCCTGGGATCCCCACGGTTCCATCGGCGGAAAATGCAAGGTATTCCATATGCAAATGGGCATATCGCAGACGTTGTAGACACAGAGTACCTGGCAGGTGAATTTCCAAAGCTGTTTTTCTGCCCGCCGCCCGTTCACTCGCTCGTCCATCTTGCATGGAGTGAATCGTTATTCCCACCTGGTAGAAGGATTGAGTTCATCCTCTAGTGGTTGTAGAGGAATCGTATATTATCATCTAGTGTTCTTTTTTCTATCCGTCTGCGTCCTTGTTTATCGGCCATCTCAAGGATGTATGGCCTGTACGCCCTCCTCTCTATGTCTGTCTCATCAAGTTCTAAGTGACAGGTTCATGTCCTAACCATACGTACTTTCAGTAAATTACATCTGTTTTAGGTGGGGAAAGTAGGGTATCTTGTGATGCCAGGGCCTGGATTCTATTCCCCGAATGGGTACAATGTTCAATTCCCTTTTCTTGCATCTCCCGCCATGTTGCTGCAGGAATAATTCTGGAAGTGATGTAAAAGAAAATACGTACTCGTTCAGTGTTAGAGAGTAATTTGTACAGTTTCATGTTTAATTTGGACTATAGTGGCAGCATTAAAGGCTACAAGTCTCTCTCTTTTCTGAAGATTGACAACAAACCTTGAGCCAAGTTATGTAACTTTTTCTCTGCTTCGACTACAATATAGGCAAAGTTACATCCCTTGTGTGTCCCAGGATCATTTGTTCATGAGTTCCAGATCTACCAAACCCATCATAAAGACCATATCAAGAGTAAACTGTGTCCCCTAAGAGGAGTAGAACATGTTGTTTTAGCCCTGAAGACCGTATCAGGAGTAGAACCTGTGTTTTTTGCCCCAAAGACCATATCATGAGTAGAACGTGTTGTTTTGGCACCAAAAGACATATCAGGAGCAGAACGTGTTGTTTTGGCCCCAAAGACCATATTAGTGGTGGAACTTCTTGTTTTGGCCTCAGAGAGCTTATCAGTGGTAGAACATATTGTTTTGGCCCCAAAGACCATATTATGAGTAGAACATGTTGTTTTAGCCCCAAAGACCATGTCAGGAGTAGAACATCTTGTTTTGGCCCCTAAGACCATATCAGGAGTAGAACGTCTTGTTTTAGCCCCAAAGACCATATCAGGAATAGAACATGTTGTTTTAGCTCCAAAGACCATATCAGGAGTAGAATGTGTTGTTTTAGCCCCAAAGACCATACCAGGAGTAGAACATGTTGTTTTGGCCCCAAAGACCATATCAGGAGTAGAACGTGTTGTTTTAGCCCCAAAGACCATATCAGGAGTAGAACGTCTTGTTTTGGCCCCAAAGACCATACCAGGAGTAGAACGTGTTGTTTTGGCCCCAAAGACCATACCAGGAGTAGAACATCTTGTTTTAGCCCCAAAGACCATACCAGGAGTAAAACGTGTTGTTTTGGCCCCAAAGACCATACCAGGAGTAGAACGTCTTGTTTTAGCCCCAAAGACCATATCAAGAGTAGAACGTGTTGTTTTGGCCCCAAAGACCATACCAGGAGTAGAACGTGTTGTTTTGGCCCCAAAGACCATATCAGGAGTAGATCGTCTTGTTTTAGCCCCAAAGACCATACCAGGAGTAGAACTTGTTGTTTTGGCCCCAAAGACCATATCAGGAGTAGAACTTGTTGTTTTGGCCCCAAAGACCATATCAAGAGTAGAACGTGTTGTTTTGGCCCCAAAGACCATACCAGGAGTAGAACGTGTTGTTTTGGCCCCAAAGACCATACCAGTAGTAGAACGTCTTATTTTGGCCCCAAAGACCATACCAGGAGTAGAATGTGTTGTTTTGGCCCCAAAGACCATACCAGGAGTAGAACGTGTTGTTTGGGCCCCAAAGACCATACCAGGAGTAGAACGTCTTGTTTTGGCACTCGGTTTTTAAATAGTCATTATTCTAGCAATGTTTTTTTCTCCAATTCTCAGTTTTGCTTAAGCTACTTGTATTATTTTGTGAGAGTAGATACAAAGTGAAGTATGTATAGTGGATTGTATGGTGATTTCAGTTAATGATAACAGAATGTGGTTTCAGTTCCAGTGTACCTGAAGTAATATTTTGATTAACTTTAATGATTCAGAAATATAACTATTTTGGCCAAGTGAAAATAATATTTCTTTTTAACAGTGTGATAAATTTTGAGTTTTGTAAATGCTTATATTTGTAATTTGACTTAATTAATTAAATGCATGTGTATGTGTAGGATAAAGCACGACTCCAAGGTTATGGTTGGGAAAGTAAGAACTGATGGTCGAGGGCTTACTTTCCCAACCATAACCGAAGAGGAGTGCTTTATTATACATGTAAACCGTCAATGATGGATAATTAGATGATCATGTAATGAAGCTGAAGCGCTAGTAAAATCAATTTAATGACAGTAGGCCTAACTATAAATAGGTAATTCAAACCTGGCTTCTTTGTTGGCCCAGTGGCCGTGAGGTAGAGCATCTGCTTATTAACCAGGTAGATGTGGTTTCATTCCTGCCAGGGAAAACATTTGCACATTAAAGATGATCTTTGACGATATTTTTCAATTGATTTCAAACACTCACATATCATCTGAATTTGAATGTTGATGCTAATATAGAGTTAGGAAAAAGTAAAACCTGGGAAGAGGTCTTACTTACATAAAGTAAAACCTGGAAGCAAACAAAAACCTCAAGTGCGGTAATTCAAGAAGCACCCTTCAGGTTTATATGAATAAATGTCGCTGACCTTCAGTTTTTGTCAATATTTTCATATGCATTATTTTATATTGTTAAGTCAACCCCAAACCTATTATTACTAAGTTGAGTAGAGATGTTACATTCCAAATATGTCTAAATTTGTCAAAATCATTAGTCAGAAGATATATTTTATACTGACCTTTAATGACTTGTATACTAGGGAAGAAAACATAAATGACAGTGTCATAAAATCAGCAAAATAACCTCCCTTATTCATCAAAATTTTGAATTTGTTATATTGTGTAAAAAGAATGTTCTTGAATTTTCCTTGATTGTGAAATATTAGGTATGCAGAAATGAAAAAATGAGTTTGGACTTTGATGGTTGACAACCACAGAAGCCCTGGCATGGTTGTGACCTGGCTGTCTTAGTGTGCGGTCGTACCCGAGTCAATGCCAACATTGTGTATCACTGGTTTACCATCTTCTGTCCTGATTACTCTAAAGGTTGTCATAATTAGCTTTAGAATAGCTGACTTTGACATAAAATGTTCTGACAAATAATATTGAACAAATGTACATTATATTGCAAGAGGAACAATGCCTTCTCTTTCATGAGTAATGCCGAAGTCTCTGTTGTGTTTCTCGTTCATGTCACGTCATCTTTCTTCATCAACGTTAATAGCATGGTTCATATGTTAACCAGTATCTACAGATCTTTCATAACCACTTGTTCATTTCAAAGGCGTGAAATTAATGATAGTAGATAGCCTGTCAATCTCACTGAAATTGCCCGTAATCTCTCAGAAAAACTTTCACAGACATCTGAAATCTAGTTGGGTGTTAGATTTGATTGACCAGATATCTATTGTGTTATTCATTTCTCTGAGACTAGTTTCTGTTACATAATATGCATGAAGTTCTGTTTTATAATTGCATTGGAAACTTGTTAAAATACAACAAAATATCAACTTCAAGAATTACATTAAGTTATCATTTGTAAAAAATTGTACTTTTATTGTTTAACAAAGAATTACATATTTATTCCTTAGTGACTTCATTTCTGATCAGGTTGATATTGAAAAAGTTTCATTTTCTTGATCATGTCAATATTTGTTACTGTGATATACAAAGGTATGAATTTTACACAATAATTTTGTATTACATGTATCTCTGTATTCTGTATTACCAAAATGCTGTTGCATTTACTCTTATGTAATTTCACAAGTGAGTCTTTCATCCCACTTAGCAAGCTTGAGACTTTTGCAGGAACGTTGTTGAAGTTGACGTGTAAGAGTGTTGCTAATGTATCTGCTGTGTGTCTACAGTTCCGACGTCTGACGAGATATCCATGACTCCAGATTCTTCCCCTGAGTAAGTGGAATTTAACATTCTGGTTTCCATGAAAATGGACATTATCAAAGGTTTTAACAGTTGTTTGTTGACATCATTAAGACAATCTTAATTCGTAACTTAGACGACCGCCTCCGTGTTGTAGTGGTTAGAGCATCCGCCCGGAGAGCGGAAGGTCGCGGGTTCAATCCCCGGCCGCGTCATGCCAAAAGACGTTAAAATATGGTACTTGTTGGTCCCTGCCTGGTGCTCGGCATTAATTGGTACAACAAGGACTGGTCGGCTCGGAGTCAGTATAATGTGTCTGAGTGAGGTATTCATGCTTCACTGCGGCATGGTATCTCAGTGGGCTAGCACTATAAAACCAGCTTTTGTCTGGGCTAGTACAAGCAGCCGCACATACACATACACACACATGCACGTCGTCATATGAGCGAAATATTCTCAAGCACGACGTTAAACCCAATTTCACCTCACCTTAACTTAGACTTTTGACAGTAAGATGACTAAGACCATCAAACTTCCATATATTAACATAGATTTACAATCGTAGCAGCAATGTTATGTTCATGCTAATATGCTTTCTAGGATGCCTAGCGGTTAGAACAATCGAAAAAAAATACATTATCAGACAATAAAGGTATAGTTTTTTGATGACGTAACAACTGAATGACGTTATCCTGTCATTGCACCATTCTAGTGTGCCCCTTCGTATTCGAACCATTTTACATGATGTCACAATGTGAGCGACGTCACGATGCATCGCCTCGTATGGCCTCCTACCGTAAACTACTCCGTTGCATCCCGTTTCTTATTTTGCAGTTGCTTCACGCAGCTAACATCACTGGTGGAAACATTAAATTTATGTTTTACGACGGTCAAAATGTGTCAATTTGACTCACAAGTTTTCAGCGACACGGTAACGTTCGCAATGTTTACATCCCCACAATGCAATCGTGGAATGTCACTTGACTACTCAGCTTCATCTGGATGTACTGATCTAAACTTACGTTTGTAGTAGAAATGCGACGTTCATATTGCCCCATATGGTTTACGTTAATGACAGATGTAATTAAAATAATTCAGAGAAGATATTTAATCCGAACGTAAACGTCATCAAACTGTTATCATTTGTTTTTTTCTGGTAACGTTCGTCTTAACGTAGGGGGGCAGACACATCAATAGAACAGCGCGCCAGTTAGCCCTGTGCGAGGATTCTTAATTTAGGTCACTGACACCGTCGTTTGTTTTCTGCCTTAGATTATTCGTAATTATCCTTAGAAAGTATTAAATTTGGCATCTTAGAAAAGAAATACAGTTCGCTCTACCACCATGTATAGTGTAATAAAGCACACTTTCGCCCTGAACTATTATAAAGTTAAAGCACTCGGACGCAAGCGTCCTTGTACTTTAACTATAGAAAGTGTTCACATCAATATAGACTTAGACGGTCAGTGCACACGTTTGTGGAATTGGCAGGTTCAGATTGGCATGGTGGGCAAGCTGTCTAAGGCACAAAGCTAGTGATCAGCGAGCTTGAGGGGTCGGGATCCAGCCCACTTGTGATTGGGTGTAATAACCTTGGAGTCAACTTTGTGTGCAGACTCTTTCAGTGTTGTCACAACCCCTAGTGTACAGTACACAATCCTGTGCACTTAAAAGAACCTACGAATCCGTTGGTATATGACCAGATGGTGGCCACATGAATACGTGCAAACACCTAGTTGTGGGTAAAGCAACGTGCAGTAAACTTTTCAGCATTATTAAGTTCAGTATATGGGTCACACAGAGGTTCATGTAAAATGTTCTGTGACTTTCTGTGAGAGTGTTCTGTCTATTACAGATTGGCCAAGCGGTCGTGGTTCGGTGGCTTGATGGGCATGGAGCAGGAGCACCACTTCATGATGGTCCGAGACAAGACTTTCAGCCAGGTCAAGGCAGACCTGGTCCACGCATTCCTATCAGTGAGTACATGGTTCAGACCTGGTCCACACATTCCTCTCTGTGGGAACATGGTTCAGACCTGGTCTGCACATTCCTATCAGTGAGTACATGGTTCAGACCTGGTCCACACATTCCTCTCAGTGAGTACATGGTTCAGACCTGGTCCACACATTCCTCTCTGTGAGGACATGGTTCAGACCTGGTCCACACATTCCTCTCTGTGAGGACATGGTTCAGACCTGGTCCACACATTCCTGTGAGTGAGAACATGGTTCAGACCTGGTCCACACATTCCTCTCTGTGAGAACATGGTTCAGACCTGGTCCACACATTCCTCTCTGTGAGGACATGGTTCAGACCTGGTCCACACATTCCTCTCTGTGAGGACATGGTTCAGACCTGGTCCACACATTCCTCTCAGTGAGACATGGTTCAGACCTGGTCCACACATTCCTCTCTGTGAGGACATGGTTCAGACCTGGTCCACACATTCCTCTCTGTGAGGACATGGTTCAGACCTGGTCCACACATTCCTCTCAGTGAGACATGGTTCAGACCTGGTCCACACATTCCTCTCTGTGAGGACATGGTTCAGACCTGGTCCACACATTCCTCTCTGTGAGGACATGGTTCAGACCTGGTCCACACATTCCTCTCTGTGAGGACATGGTTCAGACCTGGTCCACACATTCCTCTCAGTGAGAACATGGTTCAGACCTGGTCCACACATTCCTCTCTGTGAGGAAATGGTTCAGACCTGGTCCACACATTCCTCTCTGTGAGTGAGAACATGGTTCAGACCTGGTCCACACATTCCTCTCTGTGAGGACATGGTTCAGACCTGATCCACACATTCCTGTGAGTGAGTACATGGTTCAGACCTGGTCCACACATTCCTCTCTGTGAGAACATGGTTCAGACCTGGTCCACACATTCCTGTGAGTGAGAACATGGTTCAGACCTGGTCCACACATTCCTCTCTGTGAGGACATGGTTCAGACCTGGTCCACACATTCCTGTGAGTGAGAACATGGTTCAGACCTGGTCCACACATTCCTGTGAGTGAGAACATGGTTCAGACCTGATCCACACATTCCTCTCTGTGAGGACATGGTTCAGACCTGGTCCACACATTCCTCTCTGTGAGAACATGGTTCAGACCTGGTCCACACATTCCTCTCTGTGAGAACATGGTTCAGACCTGGTCCACACATTCCTGTGAGTGAGAACATGGTTCAGACCTGGTCCACACATTCCTGTGAGTGAGGACATGGTTCAGACCTGGTCCACACATTCCTCTCTGTGAGAACATGGTTCAGACCTGGTCCACACATTCCTCTCTGTGAGAACATGGTTCAGACCTGGTCCACACATTCCTCTCTCTGAGAACATGGTTCAGACCTGGTCCACACATTCCTCTCTCTGAGGACATGGTTCAGACCTGGTCCACACATTCCTGTGAGTGAGAACATGGTTCAGACCTGGTCCACACATTCCTCTCAGTGAGTACATGGTTCAGACCTGGTCCACACATTCCTATCAGTGAGTACATGGTTCAGACCTGGTCCACACATTCCTCTCAGTGAGTACATGGTTCAGACTTGGACCACACATTCCTCTCAGTGAGTTCATGGTTCAGATCTGGTCTACACATTCCTGTCAGTGAGTACATGGTTCAGACCTGGTCCACACATTCTTATGAGTGAGTACATGGTTCAGATCTGGTGCACAGAATCCTCTCTGTCACCATACCTGTCATGTCGTGTTACACCACACATCTTAACCTCTCTAAACCGTTGACAATGCCTATAAGAAGTGTTTTGATAACAAGCATTCCTTGAACATATGACGATGCCCTCCTGTGTTTCAGACTTCAGATCTCAGCCACAGTGTGGTGTCAACGTCCACGTTCCGGGCAGAGTATCGTCGTGGCGGCAGCTCCTCCATGTTTTCCAGAAATGTCCGCTTCCAGGTGGACATCAGTCCGGCGCCCGGTGAGAGGGACAGTGCCAATGCCACAAGCTTCTGTCTCACATTCACTCTAGTCTCAGGTACGTACACAGAGCACTCCACTAGCCTCCATCTTGTAAGTCTCCAGTCTGTGTAAAATAGGCCCACACAGTCAGCTGTATTCAATATGTCTATATCGCATGCAGGTCCATCCCGGCGTTTCCGACGTGTGTGTGAACACATCCAAGCCCTCATGTCGGCACCACGAGGGGAGAACAACCGGAAGATCAGCACGGACAGTACAGCGTCCTACTCCTCCGACCATACCCCACCCTCCTACTGTACAGCAGCCAAAGAGAACGGAGAAGAAGATGTAAGAGCCACGCTCACATGTTTTCACCCTTGGAGCTGTAAAAAAGCTTATTTAAAAAATTATTCTTCTTAAATATAATTTAATGAATGAGTGAGTGAGTGAGTTTGGTTTTATGCAGCCTTTAGCTATATTCGAGCAATGTCACGGCAGGGGACACCAGAAATGGGCTTCACGCATTGTACCCATGTGGGGAATTGGACCCGGGTCTTTGGGGTGACGAGCGAACGCTTTAACCACTAGGCTACCCCACTGCCCCTATAATTTAATGGATTAGAAAACTGTGATAGAAAGATCTCCCTATATGTCTGTAGTACTTGATTTTACACAAATTAGTACACATTTTTTCCTTTATTAACTTACTTCCAAATACAAATACTTTCCTCATGTAAAGTCATCACCAAATACTTCTGTATTGGAAACAAGAAACAAGATGGCAACCCCACTGTAAACGCAACCAGTTTTGGTTTTTGACCTTGAACATAACATAATCATACCAAGAGGAATGGAGTACAACTTTATATGCCCATTGCCTCCCTTAGTCAGGACAGGATCTGTTTGTTGCAGCATGCCCATTTTCTTGGCATTCACAAGTGTAGTAATTGTCTTCGTCATGCAGTTTGGGGCATGGAAAGCCCTGTCATCTAAAGAGCTGCAATTCATTGTGCAATGTTACCTCCCGATGATCCTATGGGTTTGAAGCTCGGTTCACCCCGGTTTTGTTTCTAGATTGGTCAGCACCATGACCATGCTTATGGGTTCACCAAAGTCATCAACATCTGAGATATTCAACCCTCTATGGTTTCCTTCCATGTCAAACTGACACTCCATGTTTTTAACACACTGTAGTGGGGTAGCCTGGTGGTTAAAGCGTTCCCTAGTCACGCCACAGATCCTGGTTCCATTATCCCCGACCGCGTCATACCAAAAAATGTTACAATATGGTACTTGTTGGTCCCTGCCTGGCTCTCGGCATTAATGGGTAAAACAAGGACTGGTTGGCTTGGAGTCAGTATAATGCGTCTGAGCGGGGTACTCATCTGCGGCATGGTATCTCAGTGGGCTAGCACTATGAAACCAGCTTAAGTCTGGGCTAGTACAAGCAGCCACATATACACACGCATGCATCTCGTCATATGAGCGAAATATTCTTAAGTGCGACATTAAACCCCATTTCACCTCACCTGGTTAGATTCCTCACATGGGTACTGTGTGTGAAGCCCATTTCTGGTTTAAAACTAAACTCACTCACTAACTCATTCACTGTACAAAGCAGCCATAAAACATAGTGAGTTGTAAATGATTTGTTTTTCTCTTCAACTATCTTGTTTATTGTTTGTTTTCAGCCATTAGACAAGAGACCTCCATTACCTCCATGTAGACAATCCACAAAAGACCGCAAAGTTTTATCAGAGAATGTACAGAGAGACAAGGTTTGAGGATGGACATCTTTGTATATATACACAAGGGAACAATTGGTAATAAAAGTGATTGGCCTCCCCCTACCTTGCCACCCTCTCCAAGACTGGACCAATCACAAACATTGACAGTATTCTCACCATGGCTGACCGACCAATGAAATGACTTGTAAGAAATATGCAAATTGGGCCAAACCAGAGCTGTGCCCAAAGTGAGATTGTACTTACCCAACAACTGATTTTGTATGTTTAGAGTCGAGTAGGTGTACCTGTAGTGGTTAATAGTGCATCAGGTCCTGAGGTGAGCACCAATATGCAATATGTCACAGCATGAAAGAATGATGGACATTGACTTACTGTTTTTTGGTGCTATATGTTGCTGTTAATACAAAGCGTTTTAGTGCATGTTTTTTAAAACCAATTTGTTTTTATTCAAATGCATCTTTTTTCTGCTTTTAAACTTGAACAAAAGGTAAAGAGCTCTTTTGGTGGTTTTAGAAATAAGTCTTTGTTTACTTTTTAACCTGCCATTACGTATTTCAGTTGTAATTTTTAAACTTTTGTGCTTTCTTGCCTACAGAAATATCATTATTACAATGTTCAGAAGGGTGTTGACGATGAATGGATAAAAGTGTCTGTTTTTATATCACATATTAACCTAGTCCAACCAGAACCACAAACCATTTTTCCATTTTCGCTTTCAGAATCAACAGGGATAGAATCTCAAAATATATTCTTGTAGATGCTGAACTTTCACGTTTACAATGTTCTTGGATATTTATTATGAATTTGGGAGTGAATTAATATATTTCCTGTTAAAGATATTTATTTATGTATTTATTTATTCTCACTATGTGCTATCATGTGTCTACAGAGCATACTGTTTTTATGTTCTACACATCTGTGATCTCTTTGACAGGTGTGGTAATCTAGGAACTGATGCCAACCTCACAGGTGTGGATATCTGTATTACCTACTTGTTTGTTAAAACCCGTGAAGGTCCGGGTTAGAATTGATCTTCAGAAACCCATGCTTGTCGTAAGAGGCGACTAACAGGATCGGGTGGTTAGGCTTGCTGACTGGGTTGATACATCGTATCCCAGTTGCATAGATCGATGCTCATGCTGTTGATCACTGGACTGTCTGGTCGATTATTTACAGACCGCTGCCATATAGCTGGAATACTGCTGGGTGTGGCGTAAAACTAAACTCACTACATATTTGTTACCCCAATTATATTGATAAATTCAAATTTAAATTTGGACTGACTGACTGACTGAGTCTGGTTTTACGCCGCTTTTAGCAATATTCCAGCAACATCACGGCGGGGGACACCAGAAATGGGCTTCACACATTTTAAATTTGGAAAATTTCTTTCATTTTATACATAGTTTTTAAGTTTGGGTCATTTCAGGGGTTTTAAAGGGTGATATGAGCTACTTCATTGCAGACAGCTCTGATACAATATCTCCCTGTGTGAGAAACTGACCCGTCCCCCAGGAGGTCGTCTCAAGTGAACTTTCAATGAGTATGTAGGCTTCTCAAATTTCGCTCAAAGTGATTGAAGCAGAATATCTGACTTTTATGTCTAGAAAACAAATTTCATGGCCAGTACCGAATGTAAATACTGCACCTCTGTACAGTTGTTGATATGTCATTTAGTCATTTCTGACCACCATAGGGGCAGTGGGGTAGCCTGGTGGTTAAAGCGTTCACTCGTGACATCGTAGACCCGGGTTCGATTCCTCACACTGGTACAATGTATGAAGCCCATTTCTGGTGTCAGGACCCGTGATATGGCTGGAATATTGCTAAAAGCCTCGTAAAAATATACTCACTCGATCACACCACCATGTCAAAGGAGTACTATCATAGGAATAATTGTGTTCCTTGTGCTTTTGGTATTTTTAATTTATCCAAATACCTGCATCCATGTGGTGAAGAAATGAAGCTGAAGTGTGAAATAGAAATGACTTCTGATTGGTTCAAGATCCAGCACATACTTCATTAGGTTAGGAGATCAAGGTTCACTTGGGATTTCACATTACACAACCTTTTATGGATTTTTCGGATTTCACACAGTGGTATTGTATCGCAGTCAAAGATAGACTTTTATGGGAATGGATCGGAGTTGCTATATGGTAATTTGTTAGTTCCAGACTTATTCCTGACTATGTCCAGTTGACATTTGTTTGATTCATCAGGATATTCGTTACTGTAGGGCATCACTAAAGCCACTCACTCACTCACTCCAGGAAACATACAGCGTGACAGTACCCTATGTTTACAACGAACACATTTATAACAAAGTGATGGATATAACAACCTTTGTACATTTTAGTCACAATGGTTATAACAAACTTTGGTTATAAAAGACTAAAACTAAAACCCTTTGAATATTTATTTGGGATATTCTCCAAAAAAGGGCGGTGATCAAAATACAATATATTGTCTCTGCTTACCACATCTGTCAAAGAGGAAAAAACTAGTCATAATTTTTTCTGTTTTTATCTTCATCTTTTTTTATCCTGTGATATTTGTTTATCTCCTGTCAAACGCGGGAGCCAACATCGAACCATTTGTTTCCCAGTTAGAGTCATTCATTGTCATGTACTACTTACCTAAAGCTGATACTCAAACATTGTTATCAACTTGATCAACTTGAAGTTTGAGAAAGCATTTTAACCACAGCTGTGTATGGCTTGTCTTCAAGCTGGGTTGGGGTTGTTATACCATGGGTGGGGTCTGTTATACCATGGGTGGGGTCTGTTATACCATGGGTGGGGTAAACATGATTTATTACCTCTGTAGGATATTTACCAAGACTGGATAGTGAACTTTTATCTAAAGAAAATATAGTGTTAATTTCCTCACATGATACACAAAGCTGTGTCTTTATTTATGGGCTGCTTCTAGATTATGTTCAGGACCATGTTGTGTTAGTAATCCATGCAAAAATATGTCACCACTTACCAGTGATGTGAAACATGATTTCTTTCAGGCATTTTTGCTCCAAGTTACTTCACCAATATGATGATTATCGATCTCAATAATCTAAGTCGGAAGCAAGCCCTACAGGAATGGTAGCATGAATGCAAGATATGCTAGGGACGAACAGAAAGCTTGAGCTCAACTCTCCCCAGGGAGCTGAGAATGTTGTTCAAATATTTACTAGTGCAATATTTCTTCTTATTGACCACTTAGATAATATGTCCTCATATTGTACCTCTACTGTGTGAAGACTTTGTGATATAAGTCTATTATTATTGTCATGAAGACAGAAGATGAATAATGCATACCAGACAAAAGTTCTTTTTTGTTGACAATTTGAAATGTTACAGAGTTAACTTGGCAACTTTGCTGGACGATTATACAAAGCAGAAACCCAGGTGAGATTGGGTAGTAGTTACATGGTTACCAAAAGAGATGGTAAGTAGTTGTATGGGTACCCGGGAGTAAATTTTGACACCCTTCTTAACTGTGATGTTTCTTAACAATGATCAGAACAGTGTTCAGATTCATGTGTATGTAACTTAAGGAAAGATAAAGATGTTTACTTATGACTATTTCTTTACTCATCTTATTGATAAATTAAATGAATATATTAAGTGTTCTTTAACTTATTTTGAATAATATAAAAAGAGATACAATCAATTTATGTACTGCACAGAAGAACTTTTGGGCACAACATGTTTGTAAGGATGTTTGCTGGTCTGCATTACTGCTGACTTTAGCCACTAGATCAGTGTCTGAGGCAAGTAAAATTCTGAACAGGAACGATTTTTTATAGATAGTCAACTTTTTGCAATGGATGCGACGTTTCCGTGTAGATGCTAACACCGTTGCATCGACGGCAATAAACAAGTTGTCTATCCATAAAGAATCGTCTAGTTCATCATCCCAGCTTCTAAATGCCATTCAAAGAGGTTAAATAAACTTCTGTTCGATCTAGAAAGTAGAGCTTGTAATGATAATAATGTATCATCTGAAAGTGATACTTAGAGATATGTCCAGGTTAGTAGACTTGATATGTGATGATTTTGGTATTTGAATAGGTGTTTACCCGCCTCCCATACTCTACTTACCTTGGTTACTGTCACCATGGTAACGTATGTTCTTAAATGTTACATCTTCCCGAGACTAGGGACTCTCTGACTACAAAAGCCTGGTTTCCACCTTGCCAAACTAGGTTTAGATTATAGAGTTGTCTTTTGGTGGGATGCATCAAAAATCAAAATTGTATGCTGAAATCAACAACCAGTTCAAAAATTGCCATAGCATGTTATTGGCAACTTGGCTTCACATGATATTGTCCAACTCTTTACTTGTTTATCAAGGTGGACAAGTAAGTTGATGCACTTCGCAGGGTAAGATCTGTTGCACTATAGATCCTGGCTATCAATCAGATCATCTTCACTGAGTTCAACCATCTTGTTTGAAGCAAATACAAGTTACGTGGAATCTGATTGGCCACCTTTACGGACATTAACAGGACAAACCTTGTACTAGGTGCCTGTGGTGCTAAGACTGAGTCACAAATGCCAACCAAGTTCTGCAGGGGTGGAAACCAGACTTTGATAATCAGGTCCATTGGTAAAGTGAGTTTCATGTACTTCAAGGCCTCTGTCTGGATTATAAAATGGACGAAGGAATAGAAATACTTGGTATGTTAGAGAAATAGTATCTGAAAGACCCCTTATCTCTCATCGCCCACATACACAGCCCAGTCAGTGGACTCATGCTAGAAATGTTACATTCACCTGGAAAAGGGTTAAGGATCTCTTATTTTATATTTCTATATACAATAGTCTGGTTTTAAGGTCATATTTAATTCTGATTAAACACATCTGTGTTTGTTTTCAAAATTATACGCTCATGTCAACATTCTGGAACTGAAATTGATCACCGATATGAAATGACATGTAGTGTGGCCGTTCCATGGCAGTGTATTCTGTTTCTTTGAATTATATTGCAGGTTTCTGCATGAGTGTCTGTCAGATACCATATATATTACAATGTGTTGTAAGGTAAACAGTACCTGACAGACCCAAGATCAGTTATCTGTTTCTTCCACACTCTAACATCTCACCATTTGAGCATCAAACCGAGAAATATACTTGGTGTCCCCTGCCGTGATGTTGCTGAAATATTGCTAAAAGCGGCATAAAACTCATTCACTCACTCTTGTCTACAGGTTTCTACACATGATTTGTGACCCCCCACATGACCGTTTTCATCATACCTGTAAAGTATCAAGCTGAATATGATTATTACAAATAGGTAAGACCTAAGAACGTTAAGTTACATTAAGTTACGTTAACTTTTCACAAACATGAGAGTTCAACCAAAGCACAACTAACTTACAAATAAATTACAATCAAGAAAAGTAGTCCTTCATAATTTGACCTTGGTCATCACCATGGAGTGGCCAACCACAGACCAAGAATTCAGTCTCTCACATATTTGGTATGAGTTATCTCCCATGGAGTTTATGCACACAGGTGTGTTACAAAACCCACTGCTTGCTAAGGTCTGGGAGAACAGTGTTCTTGTACCAAATTCCAGACTTGTATCTTGGACAATTACCAAAAGTACATCAATACCCCATGTAATGTACTCAGGAATTCAGATATATAGAAATATAGAATTGTGATTCTTGACATGTTTCCAGGTGTACACTTGAATATACCTCTTATCCCATCTTCATAAAACCATTTACTTATCGTCATCCAGAAATGATCAGGACAAGTTCATGTGATAAATGTTTAGCATTGTGGTCAATATGATAGTAACTGTCATTTTATGTGTTTATTTGAAGATATTTTAGCAGATGTTTATTTTAACACAATAGGCACACAACAGGCCCTTGTGTTTACTGTTGAACATTTTGTTCTTTTATACTTAGTGCTTGAAGCGGACACATGTTGTACATTGTTTTGAAGGATGAACCTTGAACAGACATTTACATTGCATGTTCATACTTTTGTATGAAATCAGTATTTATGTTTTATGAGAGATAGTCAAATTTTTAATCAAAATATTTGTTTGCTATTTAAGATGTACATTGATGTTTTACGGTTGCCACTGGGTTGCCTTGCACAGGTTAGGTTGAAAAATTGCTGAATAACTTTGTCTCTTAAGTCTAAGTCTGACATACGGAAAAAAATAAAAATAAAAATAAAATGCAGTTTGATTTTATGCAACGTGCATTTTCAAACTCTAACTTGTTTTAATGTGGGTTTTATGAACAAATTATCAAATGCACAAATTATCAAAAAACATTTATATAGGAATATCCCGAATGTGTTTTTCTTCTACTTGCATAATTGTACATTAGGGGGGAGGGGTTCAGCAGAATTGTGAGTGCTGCAGTTATACTGAGGGAAACAAATAAGGGAACACCTCTTCATGTTTATTTATTGTCAGATTTCCTCCCACGGCGCTATTCAAAGCTGGCGATGAAAACTGGAAAATATTAAAGGAAAGCTTGAATTTTCCTGTGTTCGTTTGTTTGTTTTAGGACAAGAAACAAGTGAGGGACCAGATTGTCAAAGTGTGTTTTCCTAAGCAGCTATACTGACATGAGGGCAAGAGATATCTCTTACAAACACGTTTAAATACAAGATTCATTGTTGTGAATAATCCAAAGGTTATTGGAAAATCAAGATGACACAATTTTCACACACTTCTTGCTTTTAGATTTCATTGCAATATTTTTAGCTTATGTCGTCTCCATATTTCATATGACTCTTTGATAGAATCTGATCAAGTTAGTCTTGAATGATGTGTTAGTGATGTTTTAGTTTCAGACAGGTTTAATCGGTTTCTTTGAAAATGGTGCATTATGTGTCATGTACACTGCTCAATTATAGAATATTCATAAAAGTGACCATAGAAGAAGCACTAGATTGTATATGAGTTAGTTTGAGAGATTCAATGTTATTTAGGAACTATATCATCGATCAAACCTGCTGATAAGAAAAAGATGCACCTTTCAAATTTTACCAATATTTGTTTATGCATTGAAAGTGTTCTTGCTTTTAATGATGCCCATTTTTATCTCAGAAATTAAGTAAAACAACATGTTTGACAATGATTAATTGCTAATCAGTTAATTAGTAAAGTGTATGTATTGAAGTTAGAACCCTTCTTTAGTACAAACCAACCATTGGATTCAAGACCATGTGTTGTGACTGGTTGTGTGAGTTATCTCCCCTGAATTGTGATAGCTGGGACTAACTTCTAGATGTGGTGTGTTGTTGATACTCATGTACAGAACCTGCTCTGTGTTGTCATGGTGATGTTCTGTGTGGATGGGTGAAGGAATCTGTTAATAGGGCACTGCTAGCCATGGTACATTTTTTCAGATTATTGTATACATGCAGAGACCATATAATAATTACTACATGGTCTCTGATACAAGTACTAGTAATTTTACAGCATTATTTACAATGTTTAGACATTTGATTGTTAGAATTTATTTATTTAACTGGAAGAATAAGGTAGGGTATTATCTTTTTGTTTTATCTTATTTTTCCTCTTTAAGAGGAATAAGGATAGAAATATTTTATGATTCAGAATATTGATACTTCTAATTCCAGGTTTTATTCAAAATGGGGGCTAGCAGTGATATTTCCATGGTTGAAATCTTTGTTTTGAGTGTGGTATGGCAGTTTGCAGCTGTTTTGTGAACAATTGTACACAATGTACAGACTTTGTATAGAATGGTCACCTGTTTGAAACCAATCATAATCTTTGTACCTCGGCCACTGATGCAAGGATCAATTTGATTGGTCCGTGATGTATAGCACTTGACATGTATGTTGGTGTATGCGATTGCTTTTCTCACAAGTACTTCCAGAGATTCCTTTCATACATGATCTGTCAAAAATGTTTTTATTTAACCTCTTCTGGTCTGTAGAAGCTGTTGGACTGGAAACTGTTGCTCCCTTGATGTGCTAAGTGATGATGTACCAGGAAGTGACGCCATTGTGGTAGCGTTGTTGTGTTGAAGTCCAGTGTGTTACAAGATGTACAAGTTGAATGATCTGCAGTCTTATAAAAATTGGATCTTTTACACATATTTGATAACTCTGTCATCATATGACATACTTTCTCAGAAGGGTGAACATAACGGTCTGACCTCACATCACGTACACCTCATTTCGCCTACACCCTTATGAAACAAATTTAGGGCTGACTGCACATCACGTAAATGCTGTTATACCTTTAGAAGAGTAGACTCTTCCACTAATGAGGTATACTTCCACTAATGTAAATAAACTCTTGCTCTGATGATTTATATTTTAATAAGGTCATATATTCAACAAGTTAAAACACCAATATCATCACCATGATCAGTCACATAAGTCAATCACATACATCACCATCATCACAGTTTTTCGTCCAGTTGCAAGGTGTAGCTTTAGTCTCTCAATTCGTGTAACGTAACGTCAGATATTTGATAACGGACATACACAGGAGGTTCTGAACCGAGGACAAAAATTACAAGTCTCTGTATTTTCAATTTACTCCATAGTTTCAGACATTTTATCTAACACCAGAAGTGATTATTTGCAAAAAGTTTCATTTGTTCAGACCAAAATGTATAAACCAGAGCCAGGAAAGATACTAAACAGACACTTGTTCTAATAGATCATGTTGACAAAATTAATGGTAGTGATGCTATATGTTAGGGAAGGCCGACATTATGTTAGATCAAAAGCCCCAAAATCCTTCATTTTGACAGCCAAAAGTTTAGGGTTCACCTAATGTGACTTCTTCTGGAAAGTTTGTGATATCTGAGGTGTATCATTTCCGAGTAAAAGATTTGATTAAATGTGAGATAAATGATGTGTGAGAGTTTTCATATTGTACCACATTTTACTTGTATGTGCCAACTTCCATGCTGATGTTGACAAATGTGACATAAACCAACGTCAGAAAACCCATAACCCTTTTGACCAGTACACCGATTACAAAATGTTTTATCTTTAATCATATTTACATATTTCAGCTAAATCTTAACTTCATCACCAATGTTAAAGGAATTTAAATTTTTTTACTCGTAATGCCATGTTCTTGGTTCAAGTCAGGCGATGTTTCTTATGCCAACTTAGCTCCTTTCGTGAAGGACTGGAGTATGTAAGCTGAATTTCACCATTGTACATTGCAACAGATCAATCAGGGCAGCCATATGTAAATTTCACACCACATTCAGACATGTTTAGTGGTACTGTGCTCGTCGATAGCAATATGTACATGTCCCGACGACCGCTATGTAGTAGTAGTGCTTTGTCTGGCCAGTCTGCTGGAATCCCGCTGTACAGGACTGTGCACATACAGGGCTGTCACTCCCCTCTCACTGGAAGGAAGACGGCCACACCTCGTCAGCCGAACAACATGGCCGCACCTCGTCAGCTGAACAACATGGCCGCACCTCGTCAGCTGAACAACATGGCCGCACCTCGTCAGCCGAACAACATGGCCACACCTCGTCAGCTGAACAAGACGGCCGCACCTCGTCAGCTGAACAACATGGCCGCACATCGTCAGCTGAACAACATGGCCGCACCTCGTCAGCTGAACAAGATGGCAGTCAACCTGAACACAAAACTGTCTTGTTTTTGAACACTGACATAGTGTCGGTCTGTATATGATTTGAGTCCTGACCAGATAATCCAGTGATTGATAATGTGAGCCACGATCCGTGCCTAGCCACCCAATCCTCATGGACACCTTCAACAAGCTGCTAGAGACTTGTTTGAACCAATAATCCCTGATAACACTCAAAACAATTGTAACATGCCTTATGGATATAATATTCACCTGTCCAATTTAGATTAAGTTATTTTGCTCTAACCTATTTTAATCAGATTGAAATAGGTTAGAAACCAACTTAAACTTTTGACTCCCTCTCGATAGTATTTACCAACAAAATATCATATACAAGGGATACAAGGAACAGCAGATATTTGTGTACATAAGAGGGGAATATACATAAGAAACGTGTTTATACATTGAGTTGGCATACATCATCATCTGCAAAGCCACCCTACATGTATAAAGTTTGTTCAAATACATATTATATATATATCAAGTCCAGAGCAATCCAGAAGTCTCAAATCTCTTTCGTATAAATGTATGCACTGCTATATGAATATATTAATATTTTATAATGGACAGGTATGGTCCCACACACAAAAGGTTAATTAAACATTTTTCATAATGCTCTATTTTTGTTCCTTTTAACAAAATAATCAGGAAATAATGTTTCAAGGCCGTTCATTTTAATTTTTTACACAGAAAACCATGTTTATGACGAACACGGTTATAACAAATCTTGTGTACAGGCCGTTTGCTGTATATATTTTTTTCAAATTACACCCTAGTTACTGAAATTAGTGGTCCTTTTCAGTTCATAAGTTGTAATTTACTGTGTTTTCGTAATTCATACCTGGTTAAGATTCTGGGTTAGTCGTACACTGCCAACATACTCGGAACTGTGGCTCATATCCACTGGCTTGTAGGTCAGGACTCGATCGTATACGTGCCACTGTCATAACACTCGAACACAGGCTGGCAGTTAACAACTACCATCAAACTGTGTACGATGTGTGGCCCCCACTGAAGGTGTGGGAAGGTGTGGTGGCCCCCCCACTGAAGGTGTGGACCAGGATGAGGCTGTGGCCGACTTCCTACTGGTGAAGGTTGTACATGTTGATAGCTGTAGTCGACTCTGGTGATCAGATGTATATTTTGAAGTTCATCCCTAACAACAACACTGAAGTGCAATCTCATGGTAAATAAAATTTGTACAAATGAGCTCCTCGTGTTGTTCGTGCATTCACTGGAGGCGGGGTTTTAACACAGGTTTGATGTTGTGCTTGTTACGAATGCTTTGTGCCTGGTCTAAGATGTTTCAAATCCTCAAGCATCGATATGGTACTTACAAACATTCTTAGGGCAAAGGATCATACACCCAATGAAAGTTTTCTAAATTACACATCAAGTCTAAGTTTGGCCAATATTTGGTTAACTCCTTGGGACAGTCATATAAACCCTTTTATTTACGAGCGAGAAAATGTTAAAGAATTTAAACTAAATAATGTGTTCATTTCAACATGAAGGTTAAGACTCACAATGAGGACCTGCATGACAAGTTTTGGTTTGCGATAAATTTGTGATAGAAGCATATTCAGCAAGTTGAGGGGAGACATTTGGCCCCAGCAACATGCCCAATTTTTGTTTTCATGTCACACTATCAGGCACTCTACTGTACACAAGCAACAGATATTGCAACACCTGATTATCAACCCCCACACCCATTTATATTCATATCATTTATTTGTATTTTACCCTTTGGGTGCAGCACACGTTAATTTTAGATTTGCAAGCGCTTGCAACATGCCAGCATCACACCATTAAGCAAATATAGTTTGTCAACTGTTCTTATAGCTTGATAACTTGGAAAATAGATTGATTTCATTGTTGACAAGGAAATATGGGGCCTCCGGTTAATATGTACCCACTGGTATATTTTGAATATGTTCCCTCCAGTCTAAAAAATATACCTCATGATTTGTGACACTCATAGCAGTAAACCCTTGAGTGCTTTGCAAACGGGCAATCGCCTGCAAGCAATTTATAGCGATTCACCTAATAATGGACCACTGACTATCAGCCGCTGAGGTCACTTTATTCTCAAACCAAAATGGTTGCCAAGGGCTATATGAGTTTGACAGCGGAACACGAAATTTTAGACTGGATCAGCTGGGAAGTAGGCAAATGAAGCTCAGACCTCACCATCCTCAGTTTGTTCCACATCTTCCAAGTAGTGACGAAGTCTATTCCATCAACTTGTCACCGAGACAGGGCAGGCCAACATTAACCACAGTCATTGTGTAATAGTGGACAAGCACTTCGAGCTGTTGCCATCCCAGGATAATTTACTATGCAATCCATGGCTTACAACACACCCAAACAAATCACAAAAATATGGCAGATCTCGGCTCAGCATGAGATTTAGTTTTAGTTGCATAACATGACAGACAGACAAAAGTTTATAACATGACCGGTTTTAACCAGATCATGGACATCTGCAAGGCTAATCTTTTCCCCCAAGACACTGTCACAAGTGAAAAGGGAAGATGGGTTATATTTCTTGAATCAGGATAATTACTGATGATACTTCACACTGATAGTGAGTGAGTGAATATTGTTTAATGCCGCATCAGCAATGCGAGTTCACACTGAGATATCATGCTGCTGTTTAACATGGATAACTCAGACACATCACGCAGACACCAATCTCTTCACTTTTGTGTGCCAGAGGATAGAAAACCAACCTCCACACTCCTTGCAACGCCATCCACTACACCACTACGCCATCCACTACACCACTGACAACAAACATGAACTGGATTTTGACAAACTTTTATTTGATTGCAGAAGCTAGAAAAAAAAATATGAGGGGATCTTGATCCAAAGACCCAAATAATATTTGAATGCTGACCAACCAAATAATTGCATTCTAGCATAGAATTTTAACTTGGATGACCATGACGACGTTAGTCATAGATCCCTCAAGGACCTGCCATTTGTCTTATTTTGCTTTTTTTTTTTGCTTTTTTTTTTGGTAAAGGTTTACTTAAATATCTGCTTGACCACATTGGGCATACTTGATCGGAGCCAAGAGATTTCCCAGCCTTCTCTGTGCAGCAGTTCAGCACTACAATGAAATAAAGAAAACGATGGTGTGATGAGAATATGGGTTCTTCCTGTACAGAGATAGCTGGGAATCTCGGTAATCAGCAACAAGCATGATCCATCAAGTTTCCTTGTTACAAAACACCTGGGTGTAGTTTTGAAAAAAAAATTAAATGAGGAAAAAAAATACCACGTTGGATGTTAAAATGCTGTGAATTTGTTGTTGTCCGTTGAAATTTGCCTTCCCACGTCTACATCTGCCCGTTGCCTGTGCAACATGAAGCACCTCCATTGACAAAAACATCAAAGGCCCCAAAGCTTTGGGTTGGGTAGGGAACTACCCACTCCATGGAATCACCCTTTTGCATACACCTGGTGAAACGGTTTGACACTAAAATAGCGGTTTGAGCATTATCATCAACACAAGCTGTGGGACCAATGAAATTCCTGTCAAAGTCACAAATCGTTGCAGAATGTATCCATCACTGGCAAAGATTGTCTGTTTTTGTGTTCCGTTTCCTTAGTTACTGCTGGAACTGTCCTCCAGAGTTTGGCCGTCCGACGCCATTACCGCGAGCGTTGCCAGTTCTTGGTGCGTTGTTGGCGTTGTTTCTTGAGGGTCCTCCTCCACGCATCCCTTGGGAGAAATAATGGTTTCAACTATTAAGATTTGAACAATCCTGAAAGACTGCATAAAATCTAAATTGCCAAATACTGGTACATTTTCAAACTGTTTATTTTTCTCAAAACCAAACTCTGCAATATTATAGTTCTTAAAAATGGACCACACAATCCCTTGATTGATAAAATGATCTCTTTTGTGAAAAGACAAGCTGACCTTTAGCACCTGAGCAACACACGAACATTGATAAAGGTGTTTTCACCAGAAAAACTGTTAATTCAAAAATTTCACAAATACAGTCAAATCCCGATGAGTCGAATCGCTGGGGACCAAGTAATAAATTCGACTTATCGATGTATTCGAGACATAGGTACGTCTATGAGGGTAGAAAAAAAGATGATCCAGTCCTAATTCCTCCGCCTAAGCATTTGTTTATCTAATGATTCCCATATCACTAATAGGGGCACCTTATTAGTTCCAGTCTGATTAGCAGACAGTGATTTCCGTAAAATCACTAATCTGACTTTTGAACTCACCTGTCAATGGTGGAAAGGTGTGAGTCGCGTTGGTTTGTTAATTGGATCAGTTTGCTACACCAATCAACTTCTCATTGACTGACTTCGGCTTATGTATACAAGATTGCTGTTGTTTGAATCTCATGGGACCAAATTTCCTTCTCGAGTCATCGTGTGTATTTATGAGACGGAATTCGTGTAACCGGTATTCAAATGATGACAACTATAACAGGTACTTCGAGTTATGCATAATATTCGAGACACCGGCATTCGACTCATCGGGATTGGACTGTATATCCATATGAGACTAAGTTAAACGCTGACGAATGTCCTACCTCCACTGTTCCTCATGCCACCCCGGTCGCTGCCACCAGACCCTCTCATCTGTCCCCCGCCCCCACCACCTCGCTGCTTGTAGCCCTGGTTGAAACCACCTCCACTGTTGTTGCTGTAGCCTTGGTAACTGTCAGCCTGGTAGTTATTGCGGGAAGTGTAACCTGGGTACTGGCCTCCTGTCAAGACAAATGGGTATACACTTAAGAGACTTGCTAGATACTTACACAAGGATGAGAATGGGTATGAGTGCAAAAAAAGAGGAAAATGATCTGGGATACTTGGGGGCTGCAGGTTTAGATGATTCACAAGAATGAACCCAGCGTGATCAAATCCACAGAATTCCATGTATCTGCAGAAAATTCCCATCCCTACTTACACCAATGAAACGTGTACGAATGAAATTGCTAGAAAGCTTGACTCATCTAAATTGGCCATACAGCCTTCAAATATGTTGTCTTAACTATGTTCTTTTACAAATCAATAATTCTCTTCAAGTCAAATTTATTCAAAAAAGGATTCTGAATGAACCAGACTACTACCAATACCGTGCAGATTGTTAATATATTATCTTGCATATCTATAAGAAATAGTTACAGACACACATGTACACTGAACATTACAGATGCTCCACTGACGGTCTACTTGGATTAGTTAATTTCAGAAAGAAAACGGTAAGACTACCTATTGAATTATCCTCTTTGAAACCCAAATTATGATTTGACAATGAAAATACTGCCATAAATAGATCTCACTCAAAGCTGACAACATCCTTTCCTTAGTTACCTTAATGGTTGATGGTTACATATCAAAAGTATATTACACATCCTTGTTGACTGCAATCAATGACGATTGTGTCCTCACTACCTGACTGAAAATATACGACACACAAAACCGTTGACTCACCTCTCCCACCGCGACCCGAGTTCTGTCCACTGATGTTGCCCCCACCGGCGTTCCGGTTAAAGCCGTTCTGCATATTGCTGTTGTTGCCACCAGTGTTACCTCCTCGGCCTCCGCGGCCACGGTAACCACTCCCATCTCTTCGCGGACCTCGCTGCTGGAAGCCGTCATTCTGGTAGCGGTTATCTGAAACAATGTGTTCCCAATTAAGCACGAACCATTGAACACTGAACTATAACTGCCAAATACACAGATATACCACAACTACAGTGGAAACTAACAATGACTTATAGTAACTTTATGACTGACTGACTGACTGAGTACGGTTTTACGCCGTTTTTAGCAATATTCCAGCAATATCACACCAGAAATGGGCTTCACAAATTGTACCCATGTGGGGAATCAAACCCGGGCCTTCGGCGTGTCGCGAACGAGCGAACGCTTTAACCACTAGGCTACCCCACTGCCCCTAGTAACTTTATGAGACAAATTCAAGTAAATTTGTGTCTGTCTTACTCTGGAAAGTGTTAGCTCCATTTGAGTCGGCGTTCTGAGATGCGTGGTTGGGACCATCACCAATCTGTTCCTGAATGCCAGCCTGTGAATACATCGACTGGAAAACCGGCGCTGCTGCGTTCATTGTAAACTTCTTCTCCGGCTGATTGGAAATGTTGGGCTGTTGGTTATCCTGTTATTGAAAACATGGAAAAATACAGATCCTCTGTATTCAATCACACACAGCAAGCATGTCAGAATAGAAGTCCATAAAGTAAATACTTCTGATGTGGTCAACTGGAAGTGCTGATCTGTCCATCATCTTTAAATATCAAACAAAATCACAATACAATGAAAACAAAGCCCTTAACATTCAAGGCTGCAAAACTGCTGTTTACAGTGAGACACTGGCTTCCCCTTTGGAATTTAAGCGATGGGGCAGTTGGGTTTTACGCCGCTTTTAGCAATATTCCAGCAATATCACGGCAGGGGGACACCAGAAATGTGCTTCACACATTGTACCCGTGCAGGGAAGCGAACCCCGTTTTTTGGCGTGGCGAGCCAACACTAACCACTGGGCTATCCTACTGCCCTCTGGAATTTAAGTGAGTCGACTCCATGAGTAAAACATACTAGATAACAAACAGATGTACCTCTGTCCATCCAGATTGATACTACTCGGATGAGTATCTTATATACCTGTCTATTTTATGTTTCATATAATGTAAATGTTTTCATATATTCAGTTTCATTGTGTTTCGCATGGATGTGTGTGAAGGTATATCTATCATTAGTCAATAAAATAACCATTGTCACAATGTAACGCACATTGCAAACAAGGAAGAGAACTTGTTAAGGACAAACCTTACTTATCTCCCCTTTATTAAACAAACATGGAAATGGACAGGTGAGGTGAAATTGGATTTAACGTCGTGCTTGAGAATATTTCCTCATATGACGATGTGCATGCGTGTGTGTGTATGTGCAGCTGCTTGTACTAGCCCAGACTGAAGCTGGTTTTTCTAGTGCTAGCCAACTGAGATACCATGCCGCAGTGAAGCATGAATACCCCACTCAGACACATTATACTGACTCCGAGCCGACCAGTCCTTCCTTGTTGGACCCATTAATGCCGAACGCCAGGCAGGGACCAACAAGTACCATATTTTAACGTCTTTTGGTATGACACGGTCGGGGATCGAACCCGCGACCTTCGGAAATGGACAGATATCATACAGATGTTACAACTAAAATATTCTAGAATATTTATAATTTTTTATCGAACATTCTGTTCTTCTGCCCCAGGTCCCTCCACAGACAGAAGAATAGATGCTATGTTCACACTGTAGAACTTGGCCCAACAACACTCCAGCTCACCTGAGATTGTGGGAGTGGTATGGAGGGTGGGATATCGTATTGCCCCATGGAATTGTCAGATCCAGTTTGGTTCATCATTCCGTGCGAGTCCTCTGCAGCTGGTGGAAACATAGACTCAGTCTGGATATTTTGTGATAAGGCGTTTTGACGAAACTGCTGCGAGGAGGGGTAGTCCATGTTTTGCTGTGACAGTGTGGTCTGTTCTGCTGACTGATATCTCTGTTGCTGCTGTTCTGCTAAGCTGTTGCTGGTGTGTTGACTTGTCTGGGCTGGTGTTGGATTGTTCTGTTGATCGTACGCCTGGGTTGCGAAACCAGATCGAGTCCGTGAATCTGTGTCCGGCGTGGGTTGAGCTGAAGGTCTGGGCATGGGCTGAGCAGCAACAACTGCAGGGTCAATGTGAGGAGCTGCTGTAAAACAAAGCACAACCTATGTATACGAAGCTTCACACCAGAAGATGTATGAACACTAACAAGTTATAATTTGGCTTGGACATTTTGCTATTTCATTTCCATTTTCTCTGGGAGAACAGACATATTTCAGACAAAACCACTTGTCTCAGCAAGCGCTAGAAACACTCAGGAGTTAGCTTGTCAAAGCATCTTCCCATCTACTCTTCACGACCAACATTACTTGATGCGGATTTGTAACCTGTGCACTGTACTTAAGGCAATGTGCCAATACTTGCACCCTACATACCTGGCAATAATTATTCAAATTCAAATATATTACATCCCATTTCATCAATCTAATCCATAAATGCCTGCAAACTGTTTCATCAAGAATGAAAATCTATTCGTTGACAGTCAGCTAGAGTTCCAACTTCAAGAGTACTATCTGAATAAATATATCTGATAACCAGCAATCCCAACATGCTGTTCAAGTCATCCATAAAGATTTAATTTTTTAAGACTTGATTCCCTCGTTTTGCAGTGCAAACTTACAGTCCACATCAATGGTTGACTCCTGAAGAAAGTTGAAACTGCCCTGCACTGAGGATACGATCTCATCAATGGGTCTTTGGCTGGGTTGCTGAAACACCTCGTTAGCATAGTACGCAGCTTGTCCACCCTGGGTTGCCATGTTGTTGAGCTGTGGGGGGACAGTCTGATTCATGGTCTCTTGTGGTGGCTGGCTAACTGGGAGATCCAGGGCAGGTTCATCCGGCTGGGACTCAGTTTTACCATCCTCACTCGACTCCACATCCTCACCTCCGTCATCCTCAACAGCTTCCTCGACAACCTCAACTGCAGCAGCTGCAGCTTTGGCAGCACTCTCTAAAACAGACATCAATCGTGTAACTACAAAGTTGTCATATGGGTAGACAACGATAGCCTGACAGACTGCAAAATTCTGCAGTGCATCTTAAACAAATTTTATAAATATACAGTCAACATTAGGCCAGAAGACAGCATTTATTAACTTAAAATTGAGTGAATAGACAGGCACTCGGCCATATTCCAGCTATATTGACGACAGCCGTCTGTAGATAATGGAGTCTGGACCAGACAATCCAGTGATCAACAGTATGAGTATCGATCAACGCAGTTGGGATACGACGACATCTGTCTACCAAGTCAGCGAGCCTGACCACCCGATCCCGTCGGCCTCTTACAACAAGCATGGGTTACTGAAGATCAATTCTAAGCTGGGTCTTCACGGGTCTATTAATTTAAGATTCAAGAACATGTGGACACACTAATGAAAGAAGAAGAATTTACCACCTGACATCCACAAACATGAAAACACAGTGAAACTGACAAAATTTTCTATCTCAAATCACAATGACCAAATTTTAATGACCAATAGTTAAGAATTACAGAACTGAAAGCTCATGACTGAACAGAAAACTTGGTTAAATTCCAACCATGCCAGGCTGTACAGTGATACTGCATGCATCCTGCAACAGCACGGCCTAGGTTAATCTGTTTAGTGCATACCCTCATTCTCAATCTTCTGAACTGCCTCGAAGTACCCACATCCACTGATAAGGTCAATGAGTTCTTTCAAATCCTTGTACGTTGTCCCAATAACTTCCTTTTGTTTGCCCTCAAGGAGGGAGACGATGTGCTCGGCGGCAGCGTTCAGTTTCTTATGATAGTCCTCCCCTTCCCGCGTGGGGCTGATCAGCTGGTACAGCTCATCCAGCTGGTTCAAGTTTTCCTCTGTTAGAACCTGCACAACAGTTACCCGTGATACTTTTTCTACCATAAATTATGAAATAATTTGACATGGCCAGGATTCATATCACAATAATCAGCTCAAGTTGAAACATAAGAAAAACACTTTCGCTGAAAACTAGAACAGCTAAATTGCAAATACTCTTGTCATAATAGAAAATACCAAGGTGCATATTGGTCAGAATATTTATTTTTACCTTCAACCCTACCGTGGTAATATGGGAATACGTACCACAGCCCCATGTTTGCCCGTTTGGAAGTCAGAGCGTATGTTCTGGGAGCCCAGACTGTCCAGAAGGTTCTGGACTTGGAGCAGCTCCTGGATCCGTTTGATCTCATGTAGCTGGCGATCTAACTTCTCTCTCCTCATCTGCTTCTTCATCAGTTTCCCAGCCTACAAGAAGAAACCCACAATCTTAACAAGCAGTCTAACTTCATAACCTTTGCCACTACAAGCTAAGCAGCAAAAACTGGGGACTGATTCCGAATAAACCAAGAGTAAACCACGACTGACTGACTGACAGAGTATGGTTTTACGCCGTTTTTAGCAATATTCCAGCAATATCGGGGCGGGGGACACCAGAAAATGGGCTTCACAAATTGTACCCATGTGGGGAATCGAACCCGGGCCTCCGGCGTGACGAGCGAACGCTTTAACCACTAGGCTACCCCACCGCCCCAGTAAACCACAAACTCCTGCCTCCTACACATACTGACGTAAACCCCAGATCCTTATACACAAATAATTGAAAAAGATACAAAGATAAAACAGCCTAAACAAGGATGTAAAAAGTTTGTGCCTTTAGGAACGGATGTTGCTATTTAATAATTTAGAATCACCTAAAAAAGGTTTCAGCACATAATCATTTAAAAATACAATACATGAATTCGATGCATTGTAAACTAATTGGCTGAACATGCAGATTCCTACAAAAAGATATTTCTCTTTGAACCCAATATTTTAAGCTTCAGACCCTTTTTGGCTTCAGACAACTACAATTTCTGGTGGGGTGTGGTCTTGGGCATAGAGCCTTGTGTTGGGAATTGGTTGAAATCTCACAATTGATTGGTTCATTACCAAGGAGCAATCATCGAAAGAAATTGGTTCATGTCATTTATCAGATTTTCATAGTCAGGTTGTTATTGCAGATAAGTATAACATGGTTCTCTGTTGTGTTTTGTTTTATTTAGAAACTGCACATCCAATGTAAAATGATGCAACTTGCTACTTTAAAGTGACGACTAATATATCATGTACGTCCTGTAGTCTTCAAGAAATATGCGGTCACGACTTTTCAGTTAGTGAAGTGAGTTTTCTAAGATTTAAACATGTTTTCATGCCCTGACAAGTTCTAAGATATGTTCCATCTTCAAGTGTTTTAAACACTAAAACAGTAGTTACAAAATCCTTTGTGTTCGATTATGAGAAAATGTGATCAATTGCTTGGTCGTTTGGTCACTGCTACCAATCTTCGATTATTTCAATTAATCAGAAAACCACAAATAGAGCCCAGGCCACAAAAGAGTTAATCAACGTTGGTCATGAAGTCCTTGTGCAGTTGACTCCTGAGAGTTTCAGTCCTGCCACACAACGAAGCACATGTGATACATGTGGTCTCACCTTAAGCCAGTGAGTACCCGGTGGGATAAGTCATTTGACTATTAATCTTCTAACACCTTACAGCTTGGGTTATCCAAGGTAATAATATCAGTCATGATGTATGTGCTTAGAGTGTATCAATTATTGTGTTTCCCTGAACCCTAAACAAATATGCCTGGTCAATTACTTCACATGGTATGTCCTGATGGTCTCACCTCATTGCTGATAGCAGCAAACTGTTTCTGAAGCTCCCTCGAATACTCCAGCGTTTGGATAACCTCTTCGTAATGTTCGATTGCATTCTGTGATAAAAAATTAAGAACAATATTAACTTTGCAAGAGCACATCCTTATTCTAACTGTCCATGATAATCAGATAAGTGGTGTAAATACAACATCCTTTTTCAGTGGGATAAAAGAATAAAGCTATGAGTGAGTGCATTTTGTTTTACACCGCACTCAGCAATATTCCAGCTATATGGTGGCGGCCATAAATAATCGAGTCTGGACCAGACAATCCAGTGATCAACAACACGAGCATTGATCTGAGCAATGTCGCCTCTTACTACAAGCATGGGTTACTGAAGATCACTATTCTAACCTGGACCTTCACAGGTATGAAGCTATGAATGTTAGGCACAGACACTATTCTGTTAAGACCTTGAGAAGTGAAAATCTCAACATAGTTGTTTTCTACCCAAATAAAGCAACATCCAAAATAGAAAAAAGATTGGTCTATTTTGAACTCGGTGATCAAAATATTGCTTGATTTGTGTGCCACGGATGAAATATTTTTGCACTGATTCAATTAATGGAAAATGTAATAAATATGACCAATTAGAATTACTGAAAAACAGTTTTTGCACCCCATGAAACTATTTACTGGTACTATCAATCTCATTTTTACATGGGCTGGGCATTTGGTTCACTCCCAAAAGACAGACCTCCCATAAGACAGACTCAATGAGTACACTAATTAGCTGAGCAATGCTGTCCACCCCTATGTAATTAATGAGCTCACCCAGCAGGGATTTACCTTGAGTCCTGTTTTTTGAGGGTCCATGTGACTCAAGCTCTTAAACTTCATGGGTCCTGGACAACAAAATGCGGGTCCCATACACTTTAATAATATTATTATTAATACTGTTATTGTATTGTGTATCATGATCATCACACTAGTTGTTACAGTAATTGAATTGCAAATGATACCATAACCCAGCTTGTATCAAACTCTTTGATAACTTGATTGGAATTTTTACAAAAATTATTTGACTTTTTCTGCGTCCCTGTGGATGGGCTAATAAATTTCGTTGCGTCCATTGTCAATTTTTATGCGTATAGGATGTAAATCCCTGCACCCAGTGTCACTAACAACACATTTCTATCTCTCCTAGTTTACAAGTGAATACATTGTGAATATTATAGTTTTTAATACCACAAACTAAAGCTATAATTACCATTTATCTTATCATAACACGTATCATTGCAAAGACTGTCACAAATTAAAGTTTCTGTCACAAAAATCAAAAAGACTCCACTCTCACTGTAACCAAGTTCCCTACCAGTGCCTCTGATGGAGTGACTTTGAGTGACTTGAAGTGACTTTCTAATAAATGTTATCTGTGAACTGACAAACATGATGTAAAATAATATGGTGCCTTGTCTCATATGCTTGATAGGTACATGTATATAAATTATTGTTTTTGATAATATTCACAAGTAAATGTGAAAATATGTGTTGATGTACATATATATAAATTAATGTTTTTGACAATATTTACAGGTAAATGTGAAATATATGTTGATGTCAACATATATGTCGATGCAATAAAAATCATAATTCATTTCATGAATTGATAAAACTATAGTTAATACCTAATGTTGTCTTTTTTATCTGGGAACATACCATTATTTGGCAAGGGTACAGCTTAATTAAGCCTTATGCAACCAACCATAAAATTTTGGGAGGTCTGTCTTATGGGAAGATATGTTTGTTCCTGTGTTTTTATTTGGACTATTCCATTATAATGTGTAGGTAACAGGTAGTAGGTAATCTGTTCACTGAACCGTAAATGTTGTTTTAAGGTGTCTGCGAACTGGCTGTCTGCGTAATGGGAGGACACGGAAGATATCGGCCATTTTGAATTACAGTGCCTGTGACAGGAAATCATGTTTTCAATGACAACATAGTTTGCGGGTTAGTTTATATTTCCGGGGACAAATGAAGCTGAACTATTCCTGCAATGACAGAGTTCAGGAAATCCTGTTCTCAGTTTTACAGGTTTATTAAACAATAAACTGAAATGACATAATTGTTGTGATGTTTCAAGTATGGATCATCAAGAGGTATGGGCACAAATTTTCACAGAGGCACACCTAAAGTATCTGTCTTGCGCCCTGTGGCACCTTTCGAAATAATTGCATTTCTATCCCTGGAAGTGTTATTGGAGAACCATGACACGTACTCACCTTCTGGTCTAACTCCAGCTGACCCCCAGAGGCCGCCTTTTGCTTGATGTTATCAAGTTTAGTCTGAAACAAAACACACAGTAAGTTTACAAACAAACAAAGGATGTGTTGCAACCACTGATTAATTAGAGCATGCAAATTAGTCAATCATTCAATGTGTAACAAGTAGCAGAACTTGCAATTTCAAAATGTTGTGTGACTACTGTTTGCTTGCCCATTGAAGACAAAACCTTGATGAACAGATTAATTTTTTTACTGTTAATTTTACTACTTTAAAGATGCAGAGCAGACTGAGGGTGCAGGCTGTTAACTCCACTTTCCCATTTCCCAGTTGATCCAGAGAAAAAAGTTCTTCTGTCAAACTCAAATTTCCATCAGCGGCCATTTTGCTGCGAGATTGAAGCTACCTCAGACAGAGATTGGCAAGATGCTGAAAGTCAGTACCCAATGTTCGTAAGGTTTAACGCCACTTTAGCAATATTCCAGGAACATCACGGCAGGAGACACCAGAAATGGGCACGCCCAATGTAAAGCAAATGGCTGGACATCATGTGCAAGCAATATTGCTATTTTTTCATTGATTCACACACACGAGAGATGAATGCTGTCTTAACACTGTAGTTATCAGTTGCAGAACAGTTGAGAATCTGGATATGACGAATAATATGGATGCAATGATTTGGTTTGATTCATCAAAAATCGAATCTGACACCTTAGTTTTGATAACCATTACCACTATTTCGATTCGATATTTGAGTGCTGTTAGACTGTGGCGTTGGATCGGTCATATCTGCAGGATGCACCCAGATTCCATACCAAGGGTTGCAATGCGATAGACACCAACAGGAAAAAGAAACACAGGACGTCCAAAGGAGACATGGAGAAGATCTGTGGAGGCAGAGGTGAAGGATGCGGGGTGTACCTGGGGACAGGAGCAGCAATGGGCCCAAGATAGACAGCATTAGAAACACTAGTATCGGTCTTATGTGCTAAGAGCATGAAGAGGAGTAAGTAAGTGTTCAAACATACCAATATTAATTAAGGTTACATCATCTACATTCCTTATTTCCTAGCCAAATCTTGGAAAAAGTTTTCAGTGTGATATGTTTTTGTTTAATAAACTCTGAAAATTGATGTTTTCACTTTATGAAGTATCGAATTGAAAATGATCGAATGGAGGGTCCAATATCAAAAATCGGATCGAGGACTAGATGAATCGTTGCAGCCCTAACAAAGAAGTGGTCAAAGGTGTGAGCAGCAATCAAGGTCGTATGACAGCTAATGAAGTAAAGGATTAACAATATTACATCAGCCTGAGAATGACTGTTAATACTTCAAAGGTATGTAAACACTACGTCCTGGAAATACAATGGATCTCTAAGTGATGTCTGTATTGTCAATAGCTAGTGAAATGAACTTGTGTATAACTAGTACACATGCAAATGCACTACACTGACACAGAAAAAAAATACGTCTCCAGAAGGGATTTTGTAGACTCGCTTGTATGAGTAAACTAGATCAATAAGACACAGCCACGTTTCAACAGAGATGGTTAATTCATTTAACTATTCATAAGGCAAACTTAGCCTACTTGAATACAATCACATTTTTTATCTTCAGTGAGTGATACCAGATTAAGCATGAGATGAGCATTATATCGTGACTAACAAGTAATATGATCCTTCCACTGAAACCTTCAGTATTTCCACTCATGGTATGTGCATAAAAGGAAACATCCTGGCGATAAAATACCAAGTAGTCTCAATGTCACATGATTGATCTTTACTCTGAGAAAAATGCTATAACAAGGTAATATTGACATGACTGACTTAACACAAAGCTGGTCTTAACACATACTATAGTCCGTTTGATCATAATCAAAACATCAGACATATATTCTGCAAAAACCTCACCGAGTTGGTCTGAGGTTTTGATTATGATCAGTGTTTCATTGAGTATTTTATGTTTATTAGTTTTTGAGTTAGATTGCAATTCATCGGTGCTCTTTTAAGCCAAACGGACTATATAGTCTGATTCAATCGCCTTCCAGCTAACAGAAATACTGATTTGCACTTTGAAAGTTCAAATCAAATGTTGTTCTATTTAGACAGTTCTTATTTTCCACCTTCCAAAGAGACTATTTTAATCATGTTAAGGAGCTGATTGGTTGGCTTGCATGTCATACTCTTAATTTTCAGGGGTCCTTGACTACAAAATGGGGGTCCCAGACACTTAATGATTATTATTAATACTGTTAGTTTTATTGTATTGCATATCATGATCCTCACATTGTTACAGTAATTAAAATGCAAATGATGCCATAATCCAGCTAGTAGCAAACTCAGTGATAACTTACTGTTACTTGATTGGAATTTTTACAAAAAGTACTTAGACTTTTTCTGTATCCCTGTGGATGCACTAATAAATTTCGTTGCATCCGTTGTCAATTTTTATGCATATAGGATACAGGAATTCGCATCCTGTAAGTCTCTCATCCCAGCTATATGGCAGCGGTGTGGAATTTATTAAGTCTGGGCGAGACAATCCAGTGATCAACAGTATGAGCATCGATTTACGCAACCGGGATACAATGACATGTGTCGACCAAGACGTCAGCAAGTCTGACAACCAAATCCTGTTAGTCGCCTCTTACGACAAGCATGGGTTGCTGAAGATTAATTCTAACCCGGACTTTCATGGGTGTCAGCTCTTGGCTATCAGCAAGTATGCAGAAAAAGTAATTAGCAAATACACTCGCGTAACCTTGATTAGTGGATATAAGGGAAGTGCGGCGGAATTCATGTTTTAAATGCATGATTTCATTTTGTATACGCACTGATTATTTTATTCATTGATTCAGCAAATTGAAAATGCCTAATATTCCACTCGTGAAGGAAACGTTTGTTTACGGAAGCCATTTGCAATCATCACCCATTCATGTGCCCACAAAATGTGACGTCACCTTGTTTCGTTGATTACGTAGTCGGTTACTTTATACCACTGTGTACGACATCTCACTGCAGTAAGTATTAACACCAAGGAAAGCAGACAACGAGAAGTGAGAAGGTTGGAGCTAACAGAATCTTTTTTACTTGACATTCTGTATATCAAATAACCACATGTCGATCTTGTACATAGGTAAACTAACAACAGATGTCCAACAAATGTGGTATAAAATGTTTAGACCCCATAGAATAGAAGCCACAATGCATTTATCATATAACTGTCAACGCATAATCTTTAACTATCTTACTATCTTAGTGGCTGAACTGATCAATCTTTTTGCTACTCCCTATAAACAGGGTAAACAACTAATATTTGGACTGGCCCCAAGTGGGGTTTTTTTCAAATAGGTTCACGCATTTGGAACACACCTTACTACAAAATCTTCAAAGGAAATGAATCGTAAGTCTACAGAATACTGGAACATAATGATTTCTAAAACACTTGCCTTCAAATCTATGGCCATCTAGGTCTGAATTGATCTTCAGCAACTCATGCTTGCCATGGGACAATAGCCTCTTACAAGCACAGGTTGCTGATGACCAATTCTAACCCCGACCCTAACACTGGATCAGGTGGTCAGGCTTACAGATTTAGTTGACACGTCACCATGGTCACTGTTTCCAAATTGCATAGATCGATGTTCACTATATAAATCACTGTATTGTCTGGTCCAGACTTGATTATTTACAGACGGCCATGAAATAGCTGAGTGTGGCAACCGCAAAATCAAATATGTTTACTCATTATATCATTTAACTTTCTATGTTTTCACCGTGTTTGAATAATTGAGGGTACAGATTTAAACTGGTCTTTTTATTCAGCTCAGAGGTAAATATAGTGATTTATAAGCTAAAACAGTAAATACTTGTATTAACCCTTGTGATGGGGTTCCGGATCAGAAAGGCCATCTAAGGTCTGAGGATAGAGTATTGGGGCAACCTTCTCTAAACCAAAGTATTGAAAAGGAATCTGGACCAAAGAAGCAAGAGCAACAGTCTGTCAACACAATGACTGACTGTGTTTGGTTTTACGCCGCTTTTAGCAATATTCCAGCAACATCACAGCGGGGGACACCAGAAATGGGCTTCACACATTGTGCCCATGTGGGGATTCGAACCCGGGTCTTCGGCGTGACGAGCCAACGCTTTAACCATTAGGCTACCCCACCGCCCCGTCAACACAATGCATTGCAACTCACATACTGCAGTGATGCCTAATAAAGTACAAAACCCTTTTACGTGTCTGCTGACAAAGCAACATAAAAAGTTAAACTCTGAGTGAGCATGCTCCAAAGTCTAGTGAATCATGGCTATATTTGATGTCGCGGACTTGTAACCACAGTTACTCGATACAATCATGTAATGTTGCCGATAGTTTTCGTCATTTTTAATTATTCTCTTATATTAAAGAGCTATTGCTACTGTCGATCTGGGATTTATAAATCTGCAGTTCACTAAACGTGACAGTACTTTCTATTTGCCAATAGCACTGTGTCGTTTGATTCCGCTTGTGGATATTTCCGCCATCTTGGTTTGCTTGTGGGCTATGAAGATTTGCAAAACCTCCTCTGTACAAATCATAGTCACTCCTGACGTATCATTAACGATATAAACATATTGTTTTAAAATTATCTACAAAGTTTAACAACTTCAGCGATTGTAATTACATCGTAAAGCTATGTGCAACCCATGAAAAGTTCTCGATCCTACTCGAAAAATGACGCTTCCGTCTTTGACAAGTGCAAAATTTGCAACTCTATATTTCAAACTAAGACATCACGGTCTCACCTTTCGCTTTTCTAGATTGCGGACCTTACGCTCCACAATAGCGATAGCTTGTTTTATGGGAGTTTGGGCCTCAATAGGGCCCTTCTTTTCCGAATCCGTAGAGGCGGTAGGCATCCTTCAACAGCAACAACCAGCATAAAGACAGACAACTTCACGTGGTTGGATTCGCTGATCTATTTACCCCAGTTTTGAGGAACATAGTGATAGCTGGTGTCATGCCGATACCTTTAATAGCGTAGTTGTTAATATTTTTGACATATTCTTAACAAAACGAATTTGTTTAATGTGCAAATCCTTATGATACGAAATCGTATGAAATAAAATAACAAAGATTCACCACGCACATGGCTACGGGTCATGAGGGAATGGGGTAAAATAATTTTAGACTAATGTCTATGTGAATGCGACGCATACGACCGGCAAACTAAGACGAGACCCAGTTCGACTGGCAATGAACCAGAGATCGATTTCAGACGGGTTGTCACGTGCCAAGGTTGTTTGAATGTAAATAAATGCGGAAGTCCTTTATGAAATCTGCGTAACACCGTAACCTCTGCGATTAAAGTATAATGCCAGGTGCATGCATGCATATGTACGAACTATGCAATCATGAGTCTTTATGACAATCCGACAGATTTAATATGTGTCTTCGTTGCTGTGCAACAGGTATATTCCTGTCGTTCAGCCTGCTGAGACGATGCTTGTGGTGAAGAATGGGGTTGTCGTGCCTTCTTATGATATGACGTAAAACGCGGATTATATATTTTTCCATCCAACCAACCATACACACACAAACTGTTTGCTGTTTAACGCTGCACTCAGCAAGATTCCAGCTAAATGGAAGCTGTCTGTAAATAATTGAGGCTGGACCATTCGATGTGTGGACCAGGCGTACCACTGATTGCTAGCACGAGAGTGAGTTTAGTTTTACGCCGCAGTCAGCAATATTCCAGCAATATCACGGCGGGAGACACGAGAAACGGGCTTCACACATTGTTCCCATGTGGGAATCGAACCTGGGTCTTCGGCGTGACGAGCGAACGCTTTAACCACTATGCTACTCCACCGCCCCGATAGCATTAGAAACCACTCGCCATCATGCAAAGGGTAAAAACGGGGGGACTATTTTGTTATTACAAATTTAAGTAGCATATGCTCATATTGACGGTAACATTCTTCTTTAAAAAAAACAAGCCATTCGTTCTAGTTTCTTTAAAAAGCAAACTGTGTGAATTTGTTCCAACTCCATACTTTAAATCAATCGACCATTCATGTACTATTGGTAAAAGTAAAGATGAATTTGTAAAAAATACTTTGATCCAGAACTCCTGAAAATATATTATTTGGTTTCAGGTTGCATAGTTCATGAATGAGTGAGTGAGTATGGTTTTACGCCGCTTTTAGCAATATTCCAGCAATATCACGGCGGGGGGACACCAGAAATGGGCTTTACACATTGTACCCATGTGGGGACCCAAGTGAATCGTAACCGAAACAATGTAATGTAACACTGTTTAACAATAGCAGTTAACAATGTGTCCAAGGACAATCATTATTGTTCAGCGGTATCCAACAACTTTGGGCCTGAATAAATGCATATAGCATAACTAGTTAAAACGGGAAAAGGTTTGAGAGAGCTTTGAAGTGTGTTCTTATTCTGTCTTACAAAAATAGTTCGTAAAGAGCCGACTGACAACATCCCACTTCACACAAAAGCCACGCGTCCGTTCAACACGGTAGATTTTACTGAATAACCAGGGAAGCAATGTGGCCCTTGACGTTATCCCTAATAAACTCCGAAGGAAAACAGTCGATACGAAACAATATTGTTTACTGTTAGTCCCGTGATCGTTAACGGTTGTAACGCACGAAACTATATGGTGGTGGTGTGTGTGTGCATTGGCGGATTCAAGGGGGGGGGGCGGGGGGCTGTCGAGTAAGGTTCAAGGTGTTCGGACGGACGGTCTCCAGTTTCTTGTTGTCTATGGTAAAGTCAGTGCTAATGCAATTGAAGTTATTTGTTATCAACTGGGTCCTCAGCACTGATCTGCATGCTATATAGAGGTGAGGTGAGGTGAGGTGAGGTGAGGTGAGGTAAGGTGAAATTGGGTTGAACGTCGTGCTTGAGAATATTTCGCTCATATGACGACGTGCATGCGTGTGTATGTGTATGTGCGGCTGGTTTTATAGTGCCAGCCCACTGAGATATCATGCCGCAGTGAAGCACGAATACCCCACTCAGACACATTATACTGACTCCGAGCCGACCAGTCCTTGTTGTACACATTAATGCCGAGCGCCAGGCAGGGACCAACAAGTACCATATCTGATCGTCTTTTGGTATGACGCGGTCGGGGATCGAACCCGCGACCTTCCGCTCTCCGAGCGGACACTCTAACCACTACACCACGGAGGCGGTCTGCTAAATAGAGAATCTTACCCGAGTGTCTTTTGATATCAAATATATCACCACAAGCTGATGGAGTTACAAATACCCGAGGCTTGCTTGATATCAGAAGACACAAGGGTGATATTCTATTTATCATAAAAAATCACTCTTCATTAGTTTTCAATGAAAAATGTACATCAATGGACTGATAGATGGCGCTGCTCTGCTGGCGACAGACATCAACAGAGCTCCCATTGTCTTTATACAGTGTATTTACACAAGTCAGTAAGTTTTAAGGGGGTTATTCTCAGGACGTCGACTCTCCAAAATTTCCCATTCGTAGGAAGGGGACCTCCAGTTTGTCTTTGATGATTGATGTTGTTATAACAAGGGATTAACAAGGGACTGCCGTCAGTGGGTCCTTTCAAAGTAACTACAGGCCCTGATTGGCAACAAACAGTGTTCACTCCAATCAACTCCGAGATTACATGCAGGTATTAATGTGGGGCTGGATTTATGTATAGAATTGGTAAAAGAAAGAATGGGAGCTGGGTTTCTTGGAAATGTAGCCCCAGAGGCTGCAGTGCCACTGTTTCCACTGTGAATGACACCCTGACGAAGGGGGCCCACAACCATAACCATCCTCCTGTCCAAAGATAAGTTAAACAATACATAACTTTATTATAAACGAGACATGTAAAATAACATATACACAGATCACATATCAATAAATCAGAAAACAATGCATATTCATATTATGTTGATTTGTGTATTTCATAATAATAATTTATTCTTTTGCTTTTTAGGTGCAAGAGACTCTTCAAAATCTCAAAACCAAGGCTGCAACGACTCTCACACCGATGCCTGCCTTGTATGAAGAAGGAGTGTCAACCCTTAGAGATGGAGACTGGACAGATGAGACACGATCCCTGGTAGAAGCTATACCGACGTTCCACAGCAAGAAGGACTTCCTATACCGTACCAGGAAGAAGACATTTCCAGGTCCGCCATCCCCGACACCTATCCGGCCACCGCTTCCTCATCATTGACGATGGCGACGAAAACAAGATCCTTGGTTTCTCCACCTGAAAACCTGGAACACCTCTATGCGGCTGAAACCACCTACACCAACTATCGTCTATCAGCTCTACACTCTGCATGCGATGGTTGGCAACCAGATGTTACCTCTGGTTTTCCTTGCTCCTACCGGACAAGCGACAAGTCACGTATGAACGAGCTTTTCGTCTCGTCAGAAATGCTGCTGCACAAGGAGGCTTTCAGCTGCTTCCAAACCAGATTCAGGTACGTTTACTATTACGTGTTGGTAATTCTAATATATAGACGTTTGCATCCGAAGTCACATATTTATGTAAAGGTTGTTTACAACATAATGATGCCAGAAAGACATGTTTCAGAATAATACTTAATACCTTCTAAAGTTTATGTGTACGTTTCGTAATGTGTTTCATTTTCTTCTTTCAGATGGACTTTGAGATAGCAGCCAAGAATGCACGATGTCTATCTTACCTGGTACCACATGGAAGAGCTGTTTCTTCCATTTTACACAGTGTGCGTGGAGGAAAGCCCAACACTTCGGCCTCCAGGTAGACTACAACCAGAATCCTGAAATCACCGGTTCGTGCGACACTGTGCAGTCTTTGGTTCCATCGCCAAGGCCCATCCAAACGTCTTCGAGCTCATCCGGTTCCTGACATCTGAACAAAAGAACAAGATCCATCTGGTCCAGTATGCCGCTGTTCAACGCCTCCCTCCCAAGAAAAAGAAGTACCAGGACGTCCAGAGAAGACTCGGCAACTTGAAAGACATGCTACGGAGGGGGGATATCGACGTTCTACACTTCGCTGATGCTGCCTCCCATATTGTGAAACTCCAGTAATGTCCATTGAATCTACTGCTGAATTGTACATTTGTATACTGTCTGCTTTGTAAATATAAAAATGTCCATTAACAGATATCTTAGTTGGTTTGTTTCTTAAACGGCCCCCAACACAGGGAATTAAATCGTTAAACTCACACTGGCTGTCAATTGTTTTGTATAATTGGCTACTGGTAGCATTCGCAGGAAGGGGACCTGCTGTTTTCATGGTTTGTTTTTAAACGACTCGAGGAGTCGTCTTCCTGCGAATGAACCGTTTTGAGGAACCGTATCTTTGTGCTTAACAAACCTGCAAGTATGTGTGGATTCCAACGGTGTGTGATTTTAGCGATGACGCTAAGTATATTTGTGTGTCATCGTCTTGCATGGAGGCCGTTAGTGGACTCCGTAACGGCGAACCAAGATGGACGTCATTGGCACCAGTATGGACGTGAAGAGCCACTGGCGCTGCAGGAAACCACGTTGGAATTGAAAGGACTTAGAGACTTGCCCCCCGGAATGTGCATCAGACAAGGGGAATAATTCAAATTCAAATTCAGGATCAAAAGTTACTAGGAAACGAGGTAAGCCGGGAGGAGTCCGCCGACGAGTTCGGGCGCGCAAATCAAGACCACCTATTCAAACTTTTCTATTATCAAACGTGAGGTCTCTTAAGAATAAACTGGACAAACTTTCGGCAAGCACTAAATATTTGTACGAATTCAGAGACAGTTGCATTCTATGTTTCACGGAGACATGGCTATCACCCTCCGTGGACAGAAACACCCTCTGTTTGGAAGGATTTGGTACTCCAGTTCGATTATACAGAGATTCAGATGCTACAGGGAAATCTATTGGAGGAGGCGTATGTATGTATATAATACATGAAAAGTGGTGTCGTAA